AGTACATTTGAATTCAACTATTCTCATGGAGGGCCTTACATGGCTCCAGTCAATTCATAGAACTTTGACACAAAATTTAATTAAAAAAACAACTGAGAGGAGAAACTTAGTGATGCTGCATAAAACTTCATTTATTTTCGTTAAATGATTGTCAAAGTCAAATCAGACGACATCTCTGTCTAATAATAAAACAAACGGCGTGAACCCTTGACATAATTAGCACGAACTATAAAAGTATTAAACACCCCACATCTCTTGTGCCACACTCAGCTGTGTCAATTTTCACTGAACACAAAACTATCATTTCAATTCAATCTATAGTCCGTATTTTATTTATGTTATATTTTATTTAAGAATGTAAAATCGCTGCAGCCAAAAGTATTTTTTGGTCTGAACTGTTGAATTGGCCTCTTGAGATGTAAACACAATTGATTTAATAAGCGATTAGTTAGAATTAAGCTTCCAGGTCCTTCAGAGTTGTAGGTCTATAAATGTCAGACAAGTGCTCATTTGGAATAAATTTTTACGCGCCGTTTCGTCTCATCCCGAATTCGTAAATCGTATAGTGACTGTTACCGACCATTCGTTTGCCGGAAGTTATTGACGAACTGCGTAAAAACAACCGTAAACGCCGTATCATCTTGCGCGACAATGCTAGTGAGACAAACACGGCCAGAGAGACCAACGACTTTTGGAACGTGAAAAACGTAGAATTTATGAGCCACTCTGCAAAACTAAGAACCAATTACGTTAAATAAAGAACCAAAATTCCCAAAAAATTAAGAACTGGGAAGGCCATATCAAGCTCGCGGTTTCTGGGTAGCCCACGAGTTTTAAGTTACAATAGTCTACGGACTGAAAGCAAAAACATCAGTTAAATTAAAATAAGAACCATACGCACGATAAGAATTGATTTCTACCGTGCGCCCAGAGCATAAGCTTGTATCTTGTATTAACTGATGTTTTTGCTTTCAGTCCCGAGACTCTTAAAGCTTCATCTGACGCAGAACCAATGGGCTAGCCAGAACCCACGGGTTTGGGCCCTCCGCTGTAGGAAGGGCCGCGCATGTGTTCATGCGTGCGTTTTACTGTGGTGTGTCATCTAAGTGTGGCCATCGAGGTCGCGGTTCGGAAACCCCGATGGCCTTCGACTGTGCAATTAGCTAATCGGTGGCTGGGAGCGTTGAGAACCGCCCCGCAACCTTGTGTAAGCGTTGTGTTGGTCTCCCCATGCTCGGAGGCGAGGGCGATCTAGTGTGTTTGTTGTTGCACTAACGGTGGGTCTGGCGTATCTAAGTCCCCTTCCTCGACCGGGTCGATGATGACGTTTCGCGGGCGACGCTTGTTGAGGTTCGCGTTTGTGTCGGGTTGGTAATTTGCCAATGTCAGGTCTTTAAAATATTCCCGAATCGTCGGGAGTCTGGAAACGCTGTACAGGTCGACGTTGCGTTGATACCACTGCGCACCGATTGCGCGGCGAATGAACTTATTTTGTATTATTTGCAACTTGTACAAGCGAGTAGGGTGCGTGTGGGCAAAGGTCATGCATGCGTAGGACATAATAGGTCGTACGCAGGTCTTATATAATAATAATAATTTGTGCCTTAAGGGCATTTTACTTTTAGCGTTAGTTAAATTGTGGAGCCGGCCGGAGACGAACGCGGCTCTATTACGAACGTTATTAATGTGCGTAGTAAATGACATTCGCGAGTCGAAAGTGACTCCTAAGTATTTGACCTTTTTCTCCCAGGGGAGCGGTTGGCCATAAAGGGATATTTGCCCCAACTTTCTGCATGGGCGAGGGCCTTTATAAAGATGTGACGGGACTACTTCGTGTGAAGTGAATCGCCACACTCTTTTCGGGATTTACTTCTATTCTATCAATAAGTAAGTGAATGCTTCTATATTGAATAAAGATATTTGACTTTGACTTTGACTTTGACTTTGACTTCTCCATTTGCGGAACCAATCGCCGAGGCGGTCGGCGGCGCTTTGGAGTCGAGTGGTTAGTTGACTAAGGTTGCGGTCTGAATAAAAGAACGCCGTGTCATCCGCGAAAAGCGCGAGATTGGCGTGGGGGTCTTTAGGTATATCACTCGTGTAGAGCGTAAAGATCAAAGTTGAGAGGCAGGAGCCTTGTGGAGAGGGTGCCATCAACTCGATATCGAAAGTAACGGTTCGACAGGAAGGCCCGGATGGTGTGTACGAGCCTATCTGGCACTTTGAGTGTGTACAGCTTGTAAAGCAAGCTGTTGTGCCAGACCTTGTCGAATGCTTTTGCGACATCGAAGAAAAGAGCCCCTGTACTAATATGTTTAGGGTGATTTAGGCCTTTTAGGATATGTTCCGTTAGGCGGAATAGTTGATCGGGACAGGAATGTCTAGCTCGAAAGCCGAATTGTTCCGCCGTCAGAAGGCCGTTGGAAAACACGTGCTCATTGAGCCTGTTTAATAAAAGCCGCTCGTAGAGCTTCCCCAGGCAACAGAGGAGGCTGATGGGACGATGACTAGAGGGCTGGTTGGCTGGCTTGCGAATGCCGATTACGCGGTCCACCTCCGTTAGGTGGGCTGTATCGATGTGTTGGCGCGATGGCTTACATTGCTGCTCTAGGTTGTCCGCAAGGCATTCGACTTTTTCGGAGTCATCTAGGGCTACTGAAGCGCTATTAGGTCTAACTAACGGCGGTAGAGATTCGCGGGGGTCTGCTTTCAGACTGCGGGCCAACCGCCAGTAGGCGGTGTGCGATGGCTCTATGTCCTCTAGGAGAGTGTCTCACGTTGTATGTCGGTGTTCCGATACACGATCTTTGACTTCTAGCTGAAGGCGTCGAAGTAGGGTTCGGTTTGATTCAGATCGGTATCGGTCGAAAGCGCGTTTGGCTGCATTTTTTGCCTAATTAGCAGTCGCAGGTCGGGCGGAAAGTTAAACCGTCGGTCGCCCGACAGTTTCACCGTCCGTTCCGAATCTGCGACTGCGGAAGTGATAGTTTCTCGGAGACTTGCTATTGCGTCATCGAACGTAGCTATTGTTTCGGGTAGGTCGACTATGTCCTGGGGGTCCAAGGCCTTGAGTTTCACGTCAAGACGATGCCAGTCCACTACGGATTTGGTCGGATGAACCGCGCCGGCGTTCTGGTCCAGTTTACACAGGACGGGCCTGTGATCGGAATCTAGTTCATGGAATGACATCGAGTCGATAGAGACAACTCTTTCGACTCGATGTCGTGAGAGCATAAGCGTGCTGTGGGGCCAATTACGGTTGATCTCCAGTAAAAAACCAAACTCGGTGACAGCGAACCTATTGTCGCGCAGCAGGCACAATGGTAAGTAAGATTTTTGTGTGAAATTGACAGATTAAAAACAGAAGATAATTTAATGTGGCAATCCACGTGGGTTCAAACCTCTATTTTGCAATACCTGCTACTAGGTCAATAATGCCTAAATTCTCTATTCATACTAAATTTCAACACGCGCCATAGTATACTTGTTTGAAAACAACAAATAAACGTTTGGTGACAAGCCAACAAATGACTGGTGAAAGTGCGAATTTTTTTTTGGCGGATATCAGAATTTATTGATGCAACTAGACGAAATCATGTGTTACTTAACAAACTAATTATATATCTTCAAATTTATACTAAATTTCTTTTTTAAGTGCCGGTTTGTCACGTGCTCAACGGTAATGGAAAACATCTTATGGAATCGTGATTATTTTCGAAACATTATCTTGAATTATGTTTTATAGTTTTACCCTTCATAAAAGCACTTCATATTCATTTATAATAATAGTTACTTATACAAAAATACTTTCAGAAATTAAAAAAAATGTTTATTTAATATTAAAATCTAAACAAAAATAATTATCACAACTGTTTCTTTTTCAAATTTACAAACAATTACGTATAATAAATGCTATTTCCTATAAACATGGTATTGTGCTATATTTGTGATACCCGCATGTAGTTTGGTTAATTTTCTTATCTGTTACTTATAATATTTTTCTTTCTTATTATTCTCACCAGAATCGTTATCCTTATGTATATTATACCATGCCTGTTTTGTTAAAGGTACCGGGACGCCAAATAAGGGATGATCACCTTTTACGAATGAATTACTATGCCTAAAATCATGCTGTTGGAAATAGTTTGGCATGTTGTTATACAACTCATGTAGTGACATATAATTCTTATTTCCATTTTTTGAATATGAAGCTATATCATACTCGCCAACATGTTCTTTAAATTCATTATTCTTATTCCAATCTTCATTATATGGTATATTTTCCCCAAATAGTTCCAAATTCGCTTCTTTTTGTTTTTGTATATACACATCCATGTTATTATTTCTATGATAAAGGTCTTCTTTTATTGCAGCCATATCTGGGTATTTTATAAACTGTTTTAAATGATTTATTGGAAGAAACGTTCTATACGTTGAATCTATTTTTTTAAAGCTTTGGTTATTGTTTCCAGATCTACCTTTAATATAATCATTAGAATATTCAATTCTAGGCTTCAATAATCCAACGTTACGGGTTTGATGTGAGTAATCATCGTTCTCATAATATTTGTTTTCCGTACCTTTAGCCGTATCTGAGTACTTTTGCCTCAGCGGTTTATGTTTAACACTTGGGGTCTCATCATCATCATAGAGATTGCTATAATTGTTTTTGTTTTCGTATTTCACTTCCTCATTAGAGGGATATACGCGCTTTTGAATGTCTATATTTAATGTTTTAAATGGTTTTATTAAGTCTTTAAATGATTTTTCATTTTTATATTCTTCATCTGACGACATCGTTTTTAACCGTCCCTCTAAATTTTTACGATCTTCATCATTATCGTTTCTTAGTGTTTGTTTTGGTTTATTTACATAATTTTGTGGTTGTTCCCTATTTACTTCGCTTATATTATATCGATTTGGTAATTCAATGTTAGCAGGTACGTCAGCATTATAGACTTTATCTGGCTTTGTAATTGCTGAATCATATGAAGACATTATTTTCTGTCCAAATCCATGACTAGCGATAAACGTTTGGGGCACGGCTTGCGGCGTTTTACTAAAATAATCAAATATATGAAAAGTAGGCATATCAGGTAATCTATAGGTTTCTGCTGCTGGAAGCTTAATAACCACAGTTTTACCTTGATGGTATCCTATTCCATGGCCTTCAAATGGTTTATTTTTAGTATTGTTCTTCTTGTCCGGTCTCTTCTTATTATGGCTTTCGACATCGTCACTGTTAGAATCAGCGTCACAATACATTTTATTTAATTTTTGAGTATCCTTTTGAGAAAGGCCAACTCTTTGTCCGATATCCGCACCGTTCTAAAAAAGTTTTCTTTATTTTACAACCAGTTTTTAAAATTAAAATATAACAAGTGGAATCATATATCACCTGCTTTGGTACTAAGGTGTCTTGTCCATTTGAAGAGAACGCTTTTTTACTATAGTGCAGGACGCTATCATAATCATAGCCAACCCCGAAATCAGAAACAGCAAATGTGTTGTATTTACGGAAGTTATGTCTCGCCGCTGAAATCATATAGCGTAAAGGATTTTTCAATATTAATAATAATATTAATGAATCAATGAAATCTATTTAATGTAATGTAATTTTTAACATTTAATATGTGGTAATTAATTTCTTTTTAAGTTTTTGCACACAACTGAAGAAATATAATAATATTAAATAAATATAATAATGTTACTGTCGGTAAATACGTTAATTTGACGGTATTTTCAAGATTTCATAGCATAGCTAACAAGTAATATACTTACGCTGAAGTATATTCTCCCAGATTACATCAATATAGTCATCCCTGTCGGGACTACTCTGCATGTGGTAGAAACCTAGAGTGTGTAGCATTTCATGGACAACAGTGCCATGGCGGAAACAGCCTCGACCTACTGGGTGTCGGCTATTCAAATTCAACACTTGGTATCCGCCTTGGTAACCCACTTGTGAGAAACAGCCTCGTCTACTGCCCTAGAATGGAATTGAAGAGATTTATTACTAAAAAATATAGGATATTCATTCGAATTTAAATATTAAAAATATGAGTCCGGTCAGAAAAATCTGCCAATTCGATATATAATTTAAAAATCCGTGGTCCGTGTAATAAATATTACTTATAATGAAGGTATTTCGAAGTAAACAACTTTTTGATTTTATCGCATTCAAATTTATTGTTTTAGGCAAAACTAGGCAACAATAGGACATCAGGAAGTTAAACTATTATTTAATTTCATTATAATGGATCCGCTACAAAAGGTATTGCGAAAAGGAAAAAAAAATTGTAAAGTTTAAATAGATTAGTAATTCCGTTTATATACAGCTTATGATATGTCAAGATACCTTAACATGTTTCTAATCAATATTACATACACGTGAGAGAAACTCTGTCGTATTAAACCTATTGTTGTTGCCGTTTTAATATTCGCAGGTAGCTTCATAGAATACGTATGGAAAATACATATAAAATAAATGTAAAAGTTGAGTAAAAATACAACGTCCACTTTTAGTAAAAAAAATAATTAAATTATGTGCTACTTTTAAACGTATGTTACTGAGATCTGCGATTTGTATAATTATGACTATTTATTATTAATTTTATTAACAATCGAGCGTACACCATGCTTCTTTCAAACTAATTACTGTTAGTTGTGATCTAAATTCAAACGACTAAAGTAAATCGTAAGCGAACATTTCGGTTTTAACTGACCATATTGAGAAAACCTTTCATGGAACCTGCTTCCAAAAATAACGTCCTGAATGGGAAGTTCGGATATAATTACTTATGCTATATGTACGGTAAATAAACAATTTAACAGACATAATCTTTCCAAAAACTTTGATAAAATGTATACTAAAAATCTCACCTGTATGACAACAGCATCTCTGTCCCCTTTTTTATAAGGCCGAAATTTCACACAGGATGCTTGTGCAATATCGTTAATTCCATTTTGAATCGCTTCCAATTGATCTTCCGCTAAAAGTTTAAATACAGGTTTTTTGTTTGGTATAAGTACGACATTGACTTTAGTCGGCTTCATTTTGCAGCACTTAATATAAAATAAAATATTTTATAATGATGTGTAATCAGAAATTTACTTTACGTTAACCAAAGGGGCCGTCCATTAATCACTTGAGGCTCGAACGGGGAGGGAGGGGGTTTGGCAAAAATCACAAGGGAGTAGGGCGGTGATTTCTAAACTGAAAAGCAGTGTGTAGTGTGACGTTGACTCGCTCTTAAATTTTTATCATGGTCCTTTATTTCATTATAAAATTAGATTATACTCTAAACCTGTATTTAATGATAATATTCTAAAAATTTTAAGTTTCTTTGTAGACAGTAAAAATACACGTGATTTTGGATGGAGGGTGTAGGGATAGTCTTAAACCTCACCACGTATGACCAAGGGGGAGGAGGGGGTTAAAAAAAACCTAAAAATAACATCACGTGATTAATGGACGTCCCCTAACAAGATTTATTTCGCATAATAATTACATCAACCTACTGAAATGTTCACGTTGGATAAAATAAACAACTTCGTTATCTGGCCATCTCTTGGTGCTGTCTCTCAGGCCGTTTCTTGATAGTCCTTCAGCAACATCCTCGACGATAAGTCGTCTTTGCCTTTCATTGAGAATTAGGTCCCCTTCAAATTTACCACTTTCTTCCCACGCATGATCCGACACAGTATTGTCATCGTCTGCATCAACATCAGGGTTGCCTTTAAATGTTTTAAAGAAATGATTAATTAATTAATCACAAAAGTCCGTCCAAATAATTCAATTATTATCTGTTTTTCTTAAATATTGTAATTGAATTTGAAACGACGGAAATTGCAATTAAAATTGTATGTGACATAGATAAATTACTTACTTTTCAAATTAAGATCCAACTGTGATGTTTTCTCCAAAAAATCTTTAAATTCGTCCAATTCACTCAGAGTCATAGCCCAACACTTAAACACAATTAAATTAAGTAACAACACTATTTTGGTCCACTTCATACTTGATTGAATTTAATAAATAATTGTCTGCCTCATACAATATTTATTTTAGATGACAATAAGGTACATTTTGGTTCAAAATAGGTCGTGGGCTGCACTATTCTGCCACACAAGACATTTGAGAGCGAAAGCGCGCGTTGTCCACTTGTTTTTACCGCTCAACAAAAACCCATCGTGACGGACGGAAATTAATATAGCTTCTGATACGACCATTTCACAAGTTGTAGAGCCGCAACTGTCATATCTTGCGTCAACGCCCAAAGCGCGCGCTTGTCCGCTCCAACGCTCGCCTAACAAGAACCACAGCCTTCCACAAGTAACGCCGTGCAAGAAAATTGCTAAATTTGACGCCCGAGTTGTCTTACAATTTAATAAAACTTCGATTACCTTTGCACCACAATACCATTTATGCCCGCCCTATTTGCGCAATGCGTAATATCGTAATATTAAAACGCTTTTTACGACAGTGTTGCGCTTTTCTTTAAATAAAATCCCCATTGTGTTCAATAAATAGATCGTAGCGGTAAATTTACAAATTTTTCCTAAGTATTCATACAAATATATACACCATTGTTAATATATTCATTATACTTGCTGTGAGTAATAAAGTATTCTCGTTGTAACTGTGATAATACTCTTTAAAAGCACCCTTAGGAATCTTACCTACTCTTTGACGATCTCATGGTATTGCTTTAAGCAGCATTTTGAATTTGGAAATTTTGACTCCAAACCGATACCGACAAAATTGTCTCATATTAAATTCTTATTCATTTTATTCACTATTTTATTGTTAATTTTCCTAAATTAATACCTGTTATCAAAATTGTATAGCTCTTTGAAAAGCCATGTTTCACATTATTTTTAGTGGTAACGACAGTATTTAAAAATGTTTAAATTCTATTAACCTCTCGTTTAGAAATCTTTAAACTAAAAAAAATATTTTATTAATAAATCATCCATTCTAATTTTATGCCAATTTCTCTTTAAAAATAACATTTTACACAACATAATAAGGAACCTTATTTCTCATGTACATTACATATACAACAGTAATATTTTACTTATATCTTCACTAAAATACACTTAGCTAATAATTTTCACTATCGTATCGTACACATTAAGATGTTGAGATCGTGGTCGTTTTGAATTCCACTGTTATGTCTTATATAAAACAGAATAAAGCTAAATCTCTGTTTGAGTATTTTCATCCTCTAGCGTTTTTATTATCGGATTTAAGATCTTTAAGAAGATTCAAATGTATAACTAAATAGGAAAAACCCTCTTAAGGTTTAGTAACTAACATCGTTGTAATGGTGATGTATATATTTTTTTGCAATTTGGTGTGGAAAATTTTTTCGTAATGAACAAAGATTACAGCATCGAATTAAATTAGTGCTTTGTCCCAAGTTGCAAATAAAAATTATACATATATAATGGACTAATTAAATTACAGACTTGTTATTAAATATTCCTTTCTGTGCGTTTTACTACGAGATGTTGCAGACTTAAGATTATACAAGTGAACGGTTCACTTTCTTTTCATTTCCGTTTTCAACTGAGTTGCAAGGATCGTGTCCTACTCACAAAGAACTTGTTTTCGAGTGCTTCTTAGCGTAGTGTATTACATAAGTAATACTACAAAGTGTAGAAAATATACAATTCGCCATTGTGTTGTATATTTACTGAACTAAGTACAGCTTATTTCGAATGTTTTCTTAAAAATTTTAATGAAAGAAAATAAACAGAAATATAATCGGAAATTATTTAACTGTGTTATTTCGCATAGTTTTAGATATTTTTATTATTTTGAGAGAAATAAAAATAAAGACAAATCTCGTTAGAGTCTAAAACTAATATCTTAGTAATATCGGCTTTAGAATACGACACTCACTGGTGTTTACACTTTATAAAAGTATATAAAACACTTTCCTGTTTAATAGCTATGATGTGAACAAACATCAAGTCAATCCATTAGATTAGTTTATATATATTATAGTTTTTAAGTTTTGTGGATACAAAGATACGGCAATTATTTTAACCGACTCCAAAAAAGGACGAGGTTCTCAATTCGACTGTATTTTTTTTTTGTGTTACCTCAGAACTTTCGACTGAGAGAACTGATTTTGATGATTCTTTTATTATTTGAAAGCTGGTGCTTCTCATGTTAATTTCATTGGTATTGGATCTTAGGCTCCAGATATACTTAGGGACCTTCTGAAAATTGATTATAAATAAAATGAATACAGAGCGATATATTTGAAGTCTGTTTTGTATTTCATTAATAAAAAAAAAGAACTTGTATACATAAAGATTGTTGTGATTTAGTTACTTTTCATGATAGTACTAGTTAGTAATAAAAATAAAATCATAAACAAACCATTTTATTAATAGAAAAAAAACAATTAATTTACTTTTGAAACGGCGTGGTGACTGATTCTGCCCTAAATGTCCATAAAATTCACATTTTTAAGCAGCCCTTATTAAACATGATTTTTTGTTATAAATATTCAAGAATTAAAATGTTTGAAAAAATTTTATATTTGAATAAAACTAAGTGTCACGTATATTAACAATCTAATAATTCGTATCTGTTCGTAAATGCGTGTGACATAATTAACTAGCACAGGAATTTGTTTCTTTTTCATAAGAAAAGGTAGCAAACGAACTGGTGGTTCACCTAAGTGATAATCTTCGCCCAGTAACATTTGTAATATCCTTAGGGCTGCAGATGCGTTGCCATCTTTAATAAAAAGGACTCCGGCTTCCTCACGCACCAAACGAAACGCAGAAGTACCGATAACACTTCCACTTCATGCCGGTTTGGTGTGAGGTCGTACTTACCCGGACGGTCCCGTCCTTTCGTGCAGTAATGTTGTTATGCTAATAAATTGTCTAACGTAGCTTTAAACCTAAAAAAAATTAATAAATTCGATATCTAGATCATAAGTTCCTTATAATATCCAGTTGGACTTGTACTTGGTTCGGAGATGATATCATAACTACAGAAGTGGCCATCTTTGGCCTTTTTATGTCGATTAATAATAAATATGTAGTGTAGATATTTATTATTAGTATGTATAGCGAGAAAATAAAAATAATATTTCAATATTAGTTAATTACTTAAAACACTGGAATTCGCAGTCAGGCTATACTTATATACTGAAACCTCATCACATTATTACCCTGCCGTAGATATAGAAGATTACTCTGCCGTAGACATAGAGACTCCGAAATCAATCAATGTATTGTAATAATTATATGGGCGTCGATGCAAAAGAGTTTGCATTCTAAGTACCTCAATTTGAACATAAGTATGTTTTTAAGTGAAAGTTAGGTAAGTAAATATAGTTCATTTCCTGTGTGGCACAAACTTAAAATACGTCTTAATTGTAATTTTAAAAAACAGTTCTTTCACCAACCTAAACAGTATTTCTTTTCACGTTGTATATAATTATTTACAATTGATATGCATTTGAGAAAAATATTGAAATGCAATATGGAAGTGAAATTAACGCGATATAGCCTAGCTGAATAAGTTCTAGCGTAGTCATGGCGTGTGCGATTAGTACCAACCGCGATTGGCGAAAAGGAACTTGTTGGATCCATGAAATTTTCTCATAAGTGTAGAAAGTAGGTAGAGAAAGCGCACGTTTTGTCTTAGAGGTCACAAAAAAAGTGCTTTACAGGGACGATAATCTTTCATATGAAAGGCATATGCCTAGAGCGACCAACGGATCGAAACCATCGCTGCTTGTAACAGTGCAGTTACTCAGATTCTTCATTCAGCTTTTGTTCATTGCTGTGGTTAAGTAATGGCTAGGCATACCTATCTATATAACAGCTTCTTATCAAGACACTTTCAGCTATGGAATAGTTATTACTTGTGCCAGTTAATGTTCTATTGAGTGTGACCATTAGTAAGTACGCAATTTGTCGAGGCCCGTAAATTATCTGTATGCAAAAGCATGTTGATCCGTTGTTCCGTTGCTGCGTGAAAGAAGGACAATCCAAAAAACAACTTTGGATTATTTTAACTTATTTGCCAAATTTGTTCGCCAATATTCACTTCTAAATAAAATACACTTCTAATTTTATAGGTCAATATCTATTATCGAAATGATAAAATAACCTAAACAGATAATAAAATAAGATGTTCTGTGTAGGAGTCCGGGGAACGGCCGAAGTTCATCACGATTCTCCCTCAACTGAATGTAATAACAAGTAAAGTTTGTTTATATTTTTTTTTTCAATGCAAGTAATGTTGCAAGGAATCAGATCAAACGGTTAACATAATAATTTCTTATATTTACGGGGGCATTGGACGCTTGCATTATATAACCATACTACCACCGTTAATAATTTAAAAACAATAAATTATGACTGTTTCTTTCAATGAAAATGTTATTTCTGTTAATAAATTAAATAAAGATGCGAGGGTCCACATTGCTAAATTAACTGTTGTGGTAGTATAACACAGAAGGAGGGAGTCTCGTCGAGTCGTATTATGGGGACGTAACGCTTTTTTCTTACGTGACGATTTCTGCCAATTAACATCCCCTTCTCACAACAAACAAACCGCATTCAATTCAACTTCTTTCCAATAAAACAATGTCCGAATGATGTGAACATTTATTTTGCAATTCAAAAGTAGTTACATTTTATTTTCAAGTTAAATCTACCTTCTGAAAATAGGTAAGTATATAGGAAAAAGAAAGTAAAAAAATAACTAAGCAGTATGACTGAAATATCTACTTCTGATGAGTAGTAAATTTCTCTCCTACCTGCGATTCACAGTACATCTTATTCAGTTTTATTATATCACTTTCAGACATTCCTTCTCTTTGCCCGATTTTAGCACCATCCTGTAAAGTATTTAATATTATAATGAATTATTGTATCAGGTCCTAGTCAATTGTTCATCCTTGTTCATTCAGAAATCTTAGTAAGAATTTGTTTTTGTTTGAATTTACTCACAGATATAACTATTTATATATACATTATGACGACTACGTGCTAAATATTATGTCTTTAATAATAACGTTATACTTATCGTAATAATATAATATATCTTTATCAGAAAATAATTATAAAGTTATTTATAAATTTTCATACAATAATTTTATAAAGCACTTGTAGAAAGCAGTAACGAAAGGTAATTACCCCTTTGTGTTGTCGGTGGACGATAATAAAGTATGTAATAGAGGTGTCGTAAATACCTGCAGCGGGATTATGGTTTTGTTACCATTCTTCGAGAAGGCTTTTTCAGGATAGTGCATTACGCTCCCGTAGTCGTATGACACGCCGAAATCAGTTACCGTGTCATTGTTGTACTTGGCAAAATTGTGCTCCGTCCCTACCACCAAATTTAAAAATGTATATTGATTGGAAAACTATTTCAATAATATTTATTTTCATTTAGTAAAAATTATAGCAATAAAATAGGTTCACCTGCTCTAATATTTTCCCAAATTATCTGAACGAAATCGTCTCTGTTGTATGTGCTTTGCATATGGTAGAAACCAAGAGTGTGTAACATCTCGTGCACGGCCGTGCCGCTGCCGTGGCGGAAGCAGCCATTAGCCAAGTTCAAGACTTGTGGCACCTCATCATCATCCTCATTGGCTGTGCTGTAACCCACGTTTGAGAAGCAACCGTTCGCTGATCCCTTAAAGTTATAATTTAATTAATATTCCGCGAAGTAAACGCAAGTTACAATTTCACTCGTTGTCGAAATTATTACAGCATTGGCGACTGTTACTTGGTCAATCGGTTAAACTGGCTTAAACACTTTTATGGTTGAGGCCACAAAACCAAATACGTTCTATTTTAATCATACTATGCAATTTAGATGTTTGATTCTTCTTACTCTTTTCCCTGTGGTAGGGTTCTCTGCAGCAGCCTCTGCTGTTGCACAAATGGGCAGGCACGTACATACATTTGCGTTTCGAGTTTCTAGTGAGTGAGCTGACCGGGGCCACTTTTAAACGGGTTGGCAACGCAACGGTGGTAGTCACTTATCATAAGGTGAACCGCCTGCTTCCTTGCTAACTTTTTACATAAAAAAATATACATATTCTATAAATTTTAAAAATTACCAATTATGTACGTGCACAATTAAAAGCAATAACAAAATAAAGATAAAATAACAAGTGGTATACACGTTATGTGTGATAAAGACTATTCAGCTCGATAGGAATGGTAGACTTCACATATCATCGATTATTTTTATGATTATTTCGAAAATATGCAGTTTTCCTCACGATATTTGGCTTCGCCGCTGGGCACACAATAAAATTAACAATTTCACGAGTGATGGATGAAAGCGAGCGCCTGGGCTTTGAGGTATCACAGCTTTTATGTAATAATAAGTTGATATTAGGAAATATCAATTAGATACTGTAAAATAGGGTAATACCAATTACATTAGGGTAAGATCCCAAGAATAAATATTTAACACAATATGTGTTCTTTACCTTTATCAGAACTGCGTGTTCATCTTTCTTTTTAGCTCTAAATTTAATACATGATTTATTAGCGATCTCCTCCATTGCTGATTTAATAATCTTTATTTGGTCTTCATCTGTACATCATAAGAAATAAATACACAGTTTTAGATAAATGAACAATGTCATGGTATTAAAAATATTTCAGTTGTATTTATAAATTAATATAGGTAGGCTTTTGAAAAAATATCGACCGATTATTAAACCGGCCGTAATTATTGGACTTTATAACAAAAATCCAATAAAATCTGGTCATCGGTAAAGTTTGTGCATTCAAAATGTAAAACATATTTCCGAGCAAGTGAATCCAGTTTTGTTCCTATGTTGCAAAACACCAGACAATAATATCTTGTACTAAAGATAATGTTTGTTAAAAGGTACTTAAGACTTAATATAAGGTGTAAAGCAACAAACCAAAGTCGTCTTCATTAATTTCATATACAACGGTACGATCGGGCCAACGTTTCACACCGTCAATGAGACCATTGCGATTTTTCTCCGCTGTTGATATAGCAAGTTTCTGTTGCTGTGTCAATATCATATCTCCCTCAAAGTATTCACCGAATTCAAAGTCATAACTCGAAGCTGTCAAAATGAGGGCAGAGTAATTGTTTGTTTCATATACATTTCAATACAGCCATAGTAGGTATATTTCACAAGTAATCTTATAAATAGTAATTTTTGTAGATAAATGAACACGCGTTCTCCGCTTCTGGTTGATATTTGATTTTCTATGATTTTCAAACAATCCGGTTTTAAAACTAAAACTAACGGTAATTAATAAACGGCATATATTCGTAAATAAATTAATATTATGATGAAACTGACGTACACATCGTAAGAAGTGAGGAATGAAGAAAAATAATAATTCGAGCGGTGGGTATATAATGCAAGTGTTATCGTTTTTAGAGAACGGTAGGCAAATATTTTGAGGCAAACATTTTCAAAATTAATTAAATCTATAAAAAATAATATTACTTTAATAAAAAATGCAAAATAAAATTAAAATAAACAGAAAAATAAATTAAAACGCTTTCCTTTTTACGTTTAATTACTTAGGTAAATATACATTATATATATTACATGAATATTTGCTGTCTAAATGTAGGTATATAGAACTCGAGTAAAAAAAAGTAAAATATAAAAAAAATTACCGAGCTTCTCGTGCTGTGTATATTCTCCATCCCTTAAAGGTACAGCATAAGAGGCAGAAATAAAAAGAACAAAAATAACAGTAATCATTTTAAATCTTTTAAAAAACTCGACCTGAAGATTCACACTCCTATGCAATTTACACTATAACTGCAGTAGTGAACTTCTTCGCACCTTTTAAATAAGTAGTTACAGTTATTCCTCACAGCGGGATACGTCTATAGATTACCTAATTAGATAAACGTGTACTTACGTTAATGTTTTACAAATTGAGGTGTTAACCCTTCTACTCAAGATAACATTCAATAAGTCGAGAATCCCTACTGTGCTACCAAGGTTTCTCATTTAGTGTAGGTACCTGATAATACATTTTACATTTTACTTCAGTTTTAAATTATGCAATAAGATCTTTAAACTGCAAAAGTTAGTTAATAATGTTTATACCTAAAGGTTTTTGCAGCCAAAATAATGTTATTGCTACTAACTTATAAGACTAATATATATGGTATATTAAAATCCTTTTAAATTTTTCACAAGATTACTAAATAATTAGGTCAATAATACAATAGTAGTTCATTACAAATGATACTTTCCACAAAAAAATTATAAACCCCATGTATCATGTTATCTTGGGGAAAGCTTTGAATATTTATTAATTTGAATATAAATTACAGAACTGCATGAATATTTTAAGATAAATAAAAATTTTAATTGTCAATATCGTACGTTTCTATTTATTCGATTGTTGTGAAATAGAAACGATTTTTATTATCATGAAAACAAAATAGAAACGATTGTTATTGTTTATATTTCTCGTACGTAATAAAATGATTAGTTGTCATAATTTATGTAGATTATATAAGCTTATTATTTAAATTCTAGGATAATACGCAAGGCCATTACAAGAAAATTTTTGGATTTTTCTATATTTATTATTTTGTTTATATACATATAACAAGAATCTATGGTGTATTATTTACATAAAAATAAATGAAGATAATAGTTATAAAATGCTAGCCAAATCTGTACAATTTACAAGTCTTTTATTAAATATAGGACATTTTCAAAACTACTTCTTCAAATATGACAGATTTAATTGTGCTATCTCCAGTGGCTATTAAGTGATAATCACGATTTGAAATTATTATTTCTAATATAGTTATATTAAAAGCAGTGCGCATCATTTTGATGCGTCTAGTTTAGATTATGAGCGGTAGTCTTAAATTTATACGGAATAATAAAAAAATAAAACAGCAAGTCTTGTAAATAACGTGCTATATTTATATTACAAAATAATTACAAAAGAAAACTTGACACACAAAATGTAAACTGTACATGCATGCAATTCAGATACAGTGTGATTTACGGATTAAACATATTGTACAATCTAATGTAATTAAAGTACTTACAACTAAAAAAATAAACAGTATCGTGTAAAACTCAAAACAGTCGAACATTATAAACAAAACTAATAAAAATCCATTTCATTCATTATGGCATTTTCATAATATAATACTGAAGTTGCGGTTACAACAAAAATATGTACGCTGTTTTTTTCCCATAATGATACATGTACTTCATGATATATAAATAAATTATATTATCAAATTGTAATAGGCGACTCCACTAAATATGCCAGTATAGTGTACTTTGCAGTATAACGAGACATTAAAAAAAATTGCTTTACTAATTTATACATCAAATATATTGATTAATTAATTTAGGCAGTCTTAAATGTATTTCATTTTTATAATAATTATACCAAACTGTTACAAAGTCTCGTGAATAAATACCAGACAAAACAAATGGTAACGTAACTACCAACTTAAAACACACTAAACGTTTTTTCGTATAAATTGCAATACCAGCAAATACATAGTTTGTGTAAAGCACTGTAAAACATTCTAAATATTATTGGTCTAGTAAATTATTGCATGAGACATCGATGTCCCTTTTTCATAAACGCGAACTATCAGATCGTTGCTATCATATTATTCGCACTACACTGCCGAATAAAATAGCACAAAATCCTAACAACGTGAGAAAATGACAAATTGTAAATCTATTAAAATACGTCATTTTCGAATCCGCCTCATAATCAATTCTTTTCACACTGATCCGAAATTGAAAAGCATGTTTTAGATGCTTTTGTATATGCGATGAGTGTGAAAAGTATTTGTACATGACAGTAATAATAAAACAACAAACAATCGTACTAAATATAATATTATACATCGAAGGATATTGCCCCCACAAACGAGTAATACATTTATAAATGCTTTTAAAAGCCTACTCTACGTTATTATTAATTAACTTGGTAAGTTGTCGACCAAGCTATTTATTCACACGATGTTATGTAAGACCCGATTGGAAAGACAATATCAGACCCGTTTTAAGCGAAAAACACCAGTTCGGGCTTTCTCCGAGCTTAGTGCTAGAGCTAATATTCGCCTAATATAATTGTCTATGGTTAGAGGACGTCAACTGAGTAGTAAGCAAAACTCTAAATGAGTAGTATCACAAATTGTGCAGCAAATCTACTAACAATCGAAAATTTTATTGCTATTCCATTTAAGGCCTGTTCGTCATAAGGCAAACAAACGCTGAACTATTTTCTCTATTTAATATTGTATTACTTTCAAAACGCCTATTATTAATAACATAATTTTTTGAGACTCTCAAAGTAAATCTTATAATTTACGATTACATCACGCTATCTAAGATCAAGTATTGAATCTAAAGCTTAAGTTATAAATTTAAAATGACACCATCTGTGACCTCTTAGTCGTTATAAACAAGTTTAGATCTCAAAAGTATGATTTTCATAAATCGTACGCCGCCTTGTAGGCAGCGTTTCATAAGAAAAATATAACAATCTGACTATCAAAAATAATCGTACGCGTTTAAATTTGAAAATATCGCGAAAATGCATAAAAACATCGCATTAATTATAACACTACAATGAGAGTTAAATGGCGATTACGTAACAGCTTTAGTTTAACTTACGCTTCTATTCAAGCGCATATAGCCATCCGATACCAGTTTCATATATTGGGCTTATTCATTTTTTATCACCGATTAAGTAAACATTTTATACTAATATTGAATATTCGTATGGGGCTGGCAGAGTTATTTATCTACCATGGAGCACGCGCTAAAACTCTACCTAAAGAATGTTTCACGTGCAAAATGTTTTCCATTCGCAAGAATTTATTTGACACAAATTCTTCAATATGGAATTGTGGAACACAATATACGACATTTTAGTACATCATCTAATAACGCACTTCTGAAACCTCTAGCCGTTGTAAACTTATTCGCTAAACATTTTTAAAACGATGTATCAAACGCATATCACGGCTGTGTGACTTATTGTCTCTATTAAATTTTAACTTAATGCCTCGTGATAAACACCGACAAGTTGTACTTTTTATTAATAAGCATTGTTAAGGCGTATGCGTTATGCGCGAAATCGGGACACGTTTGGCACTTTTCGGCAATGATATGGTTTAATTTTACCTTTTTATGTACCGTTTATGGGAGCACTGAGAGACGTCCATTGACACTTAACTCGGAATAAATTAGTTCACACGCGAAGTTCGGTCTTAATTTGTGAATAAGACAGCCACAATTGACGACTCTGAGTGCGACCGTCAGTGTTTAACTTCAGTACTCGCAGATAGACTGTGGTCATGGAACAACCCCAGTACACGGTCATACACATAAGAGAGTATTGTGCATACCTTTATGTGGTGTGCGCGACATGCGCAAACACGAAAATCGCTTGATATTCGATTGAATTACCAATGCCATTAAGCCGCTACTATCCGTTACGAATTCAAAAGTACTCCACTAATTCGATGTACGATGAAGTAATATCAACTTCCAAATTTCTAGCTTAATATCATAAATAATATGATATACATAAGTAAATACTGAAATCGATGGCAAGTCACGACAACAAGAAAAACGAGGTCAAAGTACCCTACGAAACTATGTAGATTTAGGCGTCGAATTGCTTCATTGTAGTAAACTATTCAAGTCACATGCTGATATGTAAAGACAGTAACTTTCAAATAACTATTTCGAAGTGTGAATGGATTACGCACAACAATACTACCAGTATCATGTATTTCAGTTGGTAACTGCACCATATTTTCTAAGCGCGTTAGTTTTTCACAGATTTCCTGTTCCGTTTATGTCGCCCATCACATTCGCCCTTCGGACCGATCACAGATGAGAAGTAGCATATTTATTCACAAACCCTAAAGATAATTAGGCCATATTAGGACAGATAATCACAATATTCATATAATTTAATACAATTCCTTGCGTGTACATTTCTCACATTATAGTCGAAGCGCTCTTCACTCGGTTTCTATTATCTTTGGATCATTCTTTACCTGGAAATAAATCATTGTTTAATAATTGGTCTATTATGATGAACCGACTAGTCTGAATGACAAATTTACGTTCTCCTTTGATTAACTAAGGTAAACGGAAACACCATAGAGATATAGTATTTATTTCATTTGATCTGCGTTAATTATAAGTCAGTTTAGGCATATTTTATTTTGCGTCCCCGCAAGGTATTGTGACAGACTTCACCTATTTTCGAAATATTTTCTTTTTGTTGTTACTTAGAAAAGTTTCCCCGTGATGTTTTCCCTCACCGCCAAGCACGTGATAATTTCAATTAATAATTTCTTTTTTACAGACACCGAGTTTTCAACTCTGGTTACTCGAGTATAATAAATTATATAATCGAACGAACGGACAGCGCGATATATCGGCTTTAAATGTGTATGACATCATAAATGTATAACTGTGGTGGGGCCACGCAACAGTCTCCGCTGTTGCACGAATGGGCAGATCCGTTCGGGGAAACACCACGACCTCACAGAATACCGGCGTGAAGTGGAAGTGTCGGGGCTTAGGCATCCGCAACCCGGTGTTTCAAATATCCACGGGCTGTGGTCACCGACTAACATCAGAATTGTACGTGAATATATGTAAAAATACATAATAAAATAACATTTCACCCACCACTTTGAGTAAAAACGCTTAAGCGGCGGTCTGCGCATGAGCGGGGGCGGGGGCGGGCGCGGGCGCGGCGGCGGGGGCGGGCGGCGAGGGCGCGGAGGCGTTCCGCGGCCGTCCGCCGCGCGGCTTTATGCTCTCCGACACCTGCCACATCGCCTCCTCGCTGAGCACGTCGTCGAAGCCGTTGAACATCGCCTGGATGCGCTCGTTCTTCTTGAACTTGTACTGTCTGCTGGACGCGAACAAAGCAATCGGTGTCATATTAAGACATTAACTTAAGATGTGTACAAAACATCGTTTTCTTAGGCTATTCATATAAAAATCTAGTAATTGTATTAAATACTAGCTAATTCGGCAAACGTTTTGTGGAATTTCGTATTTTATTAGCCTTATTAGCTGACCTCTACTCCGCGAAAGGAATATTTCTACCAAATTTGAAGCCTCTACGCCTTATGGTTCCAGACATATCGTCATGAATCAAGTATTAAAAGACACTTATAAATATAACGTAAACTTACTCCTTTCTTATTGCAAAAAGAACAAATTTATAAAACGAAAAGGAACTGTAAAACGTATTGCTTTATTTTCAACCAAGCAAATAGTATTTAAAAATAAAATGTTTGAGTCAGTTTAGAAAAGAGGTAGTTTAGCAATTTATTTTAAAACAATTACGCACTCTTTGTGAAACCTCTTCATGCTCTCCATTACTTGATACTGCTGCCATCGCTTGGTGAAATTAATACTTCCGTCTGGCAACAAATCTGGATTTCCGATGTGAACAAATGTCAAATCTTGAAGTACGAGACCGCTGTGGAAAGTGACAAAAAACATGAGAATAGAAATGAAACTTTAATAGCAAACCATTATGTAAGATTATTAATTTAACACAAACAACTTATTAATTTCAGACCCAATACCAGACAAAGGTTTATTAAGGCCGTGAGCTTTTCACACAAAAAAAAATGTGTATTTATGTGTAATAAATATGTGTGAATTGTATTTAAGTGTATTTCATAATTATATCCTATCAAATACACTGCGGATACTGAGATTCAGACTTTACTTTATTAACGCGATCAAGGAATTAGACTAGTATATTTTTCCATTTAATTTTTTTATTCGGCTCAACTGTTGTTAAGTGATAACCGCCTCCCATGGACATTTAACCACCCCTAGAACAACTTTCAATAAAATTGGCCCCGGTTACCTCACCCACCAGTCGAAACGCAGAAGTGTAACACTTCACGCCGGTCCTCTGTGAGGTCGTGGTAATTCCCCGGACGGACTGTTCCCATTCGTGCAACAGCGAAGTCTGCTCACGTCGCCCTACCGCAAAGGGGGCCACACTCCCATATCATCATCATCATATCTCGTAGCCAAGCGTCGCTGATGCGCTCCCAGGTGGCTGACGTAGCCGATTTTTGGAGTACATGTGCCGGCCACACTCGCCACAAGTCAGCACCCCTCCGATAGTATAGTGAATAACCGCAGGTGGTCTGGCCTCCGACTCGTCGTTGCGGCGATGAGCCACTCACATGTAAGGTATGCACGGCGGCTGGGTCTCGGCGAGCGCGTTCCTGTATGCGCTGAAGGACTTGGAGGAGTCAATTATGGCGCAGTGGTCGTGCAGCGTGTCGACGATGGCGCGCGGCCAGCCGAGCCGGCGCACCGGCGGCGAGTCCAGCGCGGACACCAGCGCCAGGTACGAGTTGAAGTTGTTCATCTTGCGCAGCGCCTTCATCACCTTGAGGAACTTGCTCGCGTACTTCTCCCGCTCCCTGGCTTCCTCCTGCAACGGCGAATGTCAAAGTCATTCACGAGCCACCTACTTTCACTATGCATATTGTATATTTCGGTCTGATTTGCCGATTGATTAATTTTTTAGCTACCCTGGTGTTGCGAATCAAATTACCCCGTTTGCTTTGTTTTCCACTAAGAATAGGAACCTTCCCCCATAACAGCTTTTTTCCTTAACCCAGACCATTCGCATTACCAACGATCTGAAACTTGGCCCGACAATATCGCCACGTATCGGTCACGGGCGGGTACTGATATCTGATTGTCGGTCACGGGCGGGTACTGAAAATATATTATCTGATTGCGCATTCCTGGTGTCCTTGAATCCACCGACCTGTTCGAGTATCCTCGAGCGGGCCCAGTAGCTCATTTTGTTGAAGTGCTCGGTGAACCTGGTGAGGTTGGGCGAGCTCTCCTCCGACTGGTCCCTTGGCCACGAGAGCACCTCGGCGGTGGTGATGCGGACGAACAGAGCGGCGTCCAGCAGCGTCATCTGTTCCGCCAACTCAGAGGCCTTGAAGTCCAGAAGGGTGTCCCGTCGCAGCGACACCGATCCGTAGCAGGGCGTGTCGTATTCGTATCGGTTGTTTGTCTACGAAAGAAATCAAGATTTTACTGGGGGGGGGACACGTTTCACAGCACGTTCGATATTCAATTTTCTGTAGAGACATTTGTAATAAAAACTTCTTAAATATTACAGCACATGTATTTTCTTTTTTTAAAATCTAATTACGGTAAAAAATTTAACACCGTTAAATTTTTAACTAATAACAAGGACTTATTGTTAACAGTTCTGCATCAATGTCATTAATATTTTATATTCTTAAAATATAATAGAAACTAAATTGTGATATATGTATTATTTTAACAAGCTTCATCACTGCTAGGTTATTCAATGTACAATAAAAGAAATATGTTACATAGAACAACTCTTACTTGTTGAAAATGTAGTTGTTTTTGTTTATCGACGAGTATCTGTCGTAAAGCCTTTGCTATGGGCAACTCTTCGGCATCGACTAACCAATAGATGAACTCCATTATCTCTTGCATTAATGGACGGTCCAAATCGGCCATCCTGTTGAAAAAAATACATTTTATTACATGAAAGCACCGAAATACTGCCAACTATAAAAAATAAATATTTCAGATACAATTGACATGACACATTATTATTTTTCCATTGTATTTTAACAATTGTAACAATTTTTAATTTGTGTGGAAGGGGTTGAGTACAGTCAAAGCCGTACTTTTGTATCTTATCATAAAACTGCATACACAACATTTTAACGCTTGAAAGCGCTCGCATATGTGACCTAGTTTTATATTTTAGTTCGTTATTATAATTTTACTTTTGCAAGGCATTAAAGGCATTTATTGATATCGGTTGATTTATTTGACATTCTTAACCCCCACCCAATTGACATACATAAGCTCATCTATTTTTTTAAACAATGCCCTTACTTTAGTATAACATTACCCTGTGTTGTAAGAATATTTTGCGTAAATTTCACGTGGACAAAAAATATTTATCCCGTGCGGGAATCGAACCCACGACCCGCGGCGCCGAAACCAATACCTTGACAACTGCACGACGGAGTCATCGAACGCGCATTGACACAAACGTGTAGTGGTACACGCAGTACGCACCACGAGTTGGGTACAAGTCTCAAGGACGACTGCGACCAAGATCTATTTTAGTCTGAGGCCCGGTGAGGTCCAGTATCAAGAAGATCTATAATTGTAGTCAGAGGCTAGGTGAGGTCTGGTATCGAGAATGTCTAATGTAGTCCGAGGCCAGGGTAAGGTCTGGCCGAACACGGCGTGCGTCACCCACGTGAGGTCCGCCACGATCCTGGTGAGCAGCGCCAGCGTGGACCTCAGCTCGTGGGTCCTGGAGCGCAGGTGGTGCGCGCGCCGCACCAGCCGCGCCACCAGCCCGCCCGGCGACACCCACGTGCGGTACGTCGCCAGGAACGCCTCTTGGTACGCGAAATCTGCGCACACGCCGTACTCAGTACGCGCACGCGCCGTTCGGTACGACCACCCGCTACGGCGCGTGCGTGAAGCCTGGTCAAGTGTTCAGTACAGTAGGCAAGTACAGTGAGTAAGTACAGTAGTGTAAACGGTCGGACAGTGGTAGTTGCAAGTTGACTGTACGCACTGTACTTGTCTACTGTACTAAACACTTGAACAGTGTAAATCGGTCTTAAGAGTTCACCGTGCAGCGACGGTCTGGGGACCGCTTTATTGGTACGGCGGATCACAATCAGGCCGGAACAGAATTTAAACAGTTTCGACCGGTATCCATATTCTATCTATAGATAAATTTGCTTGCTGGAGATTTTGACGTAATTATTATGGAGCTAATGTCCAATACCTATCGCTAGTTACCAAATCTATCTGTACATACAATATTGAAGCCAGCCGTTGGTGGAGAAAATAATTCTGATAGCTTGTGGTTCTAATTAGTTACCCGTTGGTAGCTGCGCGCAGTACAGTGAACCACATTAAGACACGATTCAATGTCGTAGACCGATGATCGTAAAAATATGAAAAGCTAAAGTCGAAACTTTCTGTATAGCATGGATTGTATGGTTATAATAAAACTTGAAAAATAAAGCCTTATTTACCGTACTCCATGTTTTTACACAACTTGTTGACTTTAATTTTATCAATTACATGCTATAAAAGCCATCACGATTACATTGTGAGATTTTCATAGTAAAAGTAGCATAATTATGGCTAAAGCTTATTGAAATGTACTTCGTGCAAACCATTTCATTATCAATGTTCGATAAAACGCTTCAATTTTAAAAATCGTGGTTTAAATGAATTATTGTTGCATGCTTTATGGCAGTGCGATCGCAGGCATTAAGTGCAAGAAAGCCGTAGACGACAAAGAGTAGACGATATATCTGAACACGAATCATTTGGCCAAATCCAGCAATATTAGCTAAGCCCAAAATAAAAATATTAGTGAAAACCAGATTTTCTCAGTCCCAAGTCAAACACAATGAGGCAACCACTTACACTCGTCCGTTTCTGTAAAGTGAAAGCATGAAAGTTACAAGGTTAACTGCGAGATACTTCGGATCATAGACACATAGAATGGACTGAGGATTCCTTATCCAACTGTGACGTAAATACAGGGGGGGAAAGAAAGAAATCGTACAACCAGTGGTCGTCTTTTTCTAGAATTCTGATAGGTAAATATTATTATTCTAAAATTATTAAAATTTTCGGAGACATTATTAATGTAATATTAAGACGGCTGCAGTCTGCCCGACGGGGCGCGAACTAGTCGCACTCACCGATGAGTCCGAAACTAGTCGGTACGTACACCGCGTTTACGTGAGTTCAGCCGTCTTAATATTACATGTTATTATTCTACCGATATTATTAGGTAGTATTTACTACCGATTTACAGAAAGGAGATAACTAGTGATCGAGCAGTCGCTTTGTCTCTTTCTAGCGTTCGGCTATATTTATGTGAGTAATACTCAGGCCATTCTCAGTGTCTATGCTTCTGACGAATAAAATATATCCTATTGTTAAACGCTAAAATGGTAATGTTAGAAGAAATGTAAACAGGACTTGAGACATTTTGGTACATGATATTTACACCCAAATACCTACTGATATTAAATATAAAAGAGGAAATGATATTTTCAGAGCACATGCCTATCTAAAGTACATAGGTGTGTTAAAATGTACGACCCAATCTTGTCCATGCGTTTCAATATAAATGTAATACAATATTACATTGATTGTCCACTAAACCGAATCGTATATTATGCAACTGCAAATTTTTCAATACAAAAAGTATAAATCACAAATCGTTTTAATGAATTCAAATAATCTATTATTAATTTTCTATAATTTCAATAAATCTCACTACGCAATACTGAAAATGATCTTAATGTTTTATCTTATTGAGTAAACTAGTTATGTTACAGTTTATTAACAGAAACATTCGAATAAATAGGAGGAAATTAGCTCGTTTATCGGAACAAATTTTATGTATCTGATTCTGACTCATAGTTATGGTACTTAACAAAGAAATGGCGACGTGATGATGACATCTTAGTAACAATGAATAAATATGAGTTTAATGGATAAATTATTCTCTCGGAACTTTCTATTTACGGGTGAATTTTTCGACAATTTTTCAAACTCGCATTTCATGCACGGCACTAAATGAAATTATCATTTAGTGCCGTGCATGAATGAGTTATGGATGAAATATGAATGAATTCATGAAGGTTACCTTTGGTAGCCTTTGTGGCGAGCACGATGAGTGCGTCCGGGTGTCCGCCCCTCACTTCGGGCCCCTCCTTGGCGGGCGTCTTCAGCAGCAGCCACTGACTGATGTCCGTCTGTAGGATGATGTCTTCCGAGTCCGCCGTATTGGGCTCGGCTGTCGCTGCATTGGCCTCGACGTTGTTTTCACTTCTCTGAAAAGTAAAGTCAAGTAAAGTGACAGCCTATACATATCCCACATCTAAATATATTAGGGCATAGTCCACTAAGCGGCCCCACTGCGGATTGGCGGACTTCACATATCTTCGAAACAGTTTTTTGAAAAACTAGCTACCCGAACAGATTTAGTTTTTTTTTTTTTTTTTTTAATATACCAAAACCTTCATATAATTTTTTAAGGAACATACACAAAAATATAGCCAAAACCTTCATTCGCTTACCAACATTCATTTGTATTTATGAGAGAAGATAAATGAAATCGACTTCAAATATTTTCTATTTGATTTTGATGGCTCCCTGGTTTATCTACGGAACCCAAGGTCCAATAACGATAAAATTACAAGACAGAAATTACATGGGAGCTAAACCGAGCCCAATGCAAAAATAATCTTTAAAATCGGTACATAAATGACGGAGCACTGAACTAAAAGCATTAAAAAAGTACAACCTAACTGAGAACATCCTTCTATTATGAAGTCGTATGAAAATAAATGTAATTTATTCAACTATCTATAAATAACATGTTTTTCAGAGTCACGTTAATTGACTTTTCTGGTAGGTAATTTTTTGTCTAGAAGTTTTCATTAGAGAAGTTGAAAATATGCAAGCAGTTCATGGGGATTACTGCTGCGTATAAACATTGCCACTGGGTAAGAGGGCAAACCTTACCCTGCCACATACTATAAAAGCTACGTTAAGCTTTGTCGGTTTAAATAGACTGGCTATTTATTATATTATCAGGTACCCAAGTGGCTCTACCAAAGTAAAATCGTTATTTTTAGCTTTCAATTTATAACACACCTGCGACGGAACAGGTGATGGCATCGGCTGCTGCACAATATTCTCCAATTCATCCTCAAGAGGGAATTTCCCCGGAGAATTAGAACTCAGGTACAACTCCTCGGAGCTCTGGAATGTGGAATTTCGGTCACACTTTTGTATCGATATAAAATTAAAAAAAAAAGTAAAAGTAAAGTAACAGCCTATACATGTCCCACTGCTGGGCAAAGGCCTCCTCTGTACAGAGGGTATAAGGGCATAGTCCACCATGCGGCCCCACTGCGGATTGGCGGACTTCACATATCTTCAAAATATATATATATTTTTTTGTTATTATTTCGAAAATATGCAGATTTCCTCACGATGAATCTGTGAAGGAAATCACCACGGAGCACGTGATAAGTCAGCAGTAAAAGTTAAAAACTTCATTGGTGCCGGCACCGGGGATCGAACTCAGGTTGCTCGAGTATATTGAATCAAAGGTGAGCGCCCGGACGCTCTTAAAATTTAAAGTTTACCATAAAATAAGAAACATTCAATCGCACACGATTGATTACACAACCAAAGTACAACAATTGGTGGATAGTAAAATGATTTTGATTACCACATTGTTCATAATGGAGTCATCAATGGAACTATTGTGTGATGAAGGCCGCGGTGACGGTGGCGGGAGAAGTTCGTTGCTCGAGTTCACTGTGGTCTGTAAGTCCAGATTTTTTTTATTAACAAAAATATTGAACCAGTATTGTCGCGTTCCTTTTTGTTTTAAATCCATAAAATGTTAACTAGTTATTGCGTAATATAATTTTATAACGAATACTATCCGTTCGTGTAGACAGAAGAAATAATTATGAGAAGATTATTTCAGATTTAAGAAACTATTATATTATTAAATTTTAACATGACTGTACATTAAATTAAAATTTGTAGAAAAAAAGGAAGAAAAGTATCGCGATGTTGCTTGTTTGCCTGAATTGAAAAGCGAAAAAGCAATGTAGATAAAAGCCGTTGAGATTTTCGCTGTTATACTAATTATACGTTGTTTATACCAATCAGCCGTTTAATTGGTGGTGTAATTAAAACATCTTGGCGCCAATCCGGAAGACTTGGGTTCCATTTCCGCAACGGCGAGAAACTTTTCGACCTTTTTTCAATAAACTTTTATGTTTCACCTCAAGTGCAGAGATTAACACTATAAAAATGTAAATGTACAGTAAAGATGTGTAATTGAAAAATATTCATCAATCATCCGTATAGATAACGCACACATGACCACACGTCTCAAATTCGTGGGATCCGGCTATCTGACGAGTTCTGCGTTCGATGAAGCATTAATAGTCCTGCGGGCTGAAAACAAACATCATTCAAAGTATTAGTAAAGTTGTACAAATCACCTGCTTGTTTTTGTTCATTTTTGGAGGCAACGCAGGTGGTTCGGGCGGCACTGGACTTGTTCCAGTCGACGTTTTCATCACACTCTCGTCCGATCCGCTATGACAAACAGTTTTGAATTTTAAGTAAGCAAACAACAAAGCAGCAAATTAGTGTATAGTGACATTAAAAAATTTATGCATTCTCACAATATATTTAAATTGCCTATAAGGAAGTAAAATGTTAATAAAGAGCAAAAATATTAATTTATCTCATTTGCGTGATTCACACAAGTATATAATCAAATTCAAGGACAGTTAAGGATATAATTGAAGTATCCCAGTGAAAGAGTTTTCGTAAATAGATTTCATTAATATTTCAACGTAAGGTCTACCTTAGGGCGGGCGGCGCAGTACCAAAATGTTGCACCGTGAAGGATTGAGCAATGGAGCGCTGGACTTGTTGGTGACGCTGAACGCTTATAGTACCGCTCGCTGTGTGCTGGGCGCTAGATAATAAAAAAATATAACAAATAATCGTAATGAGAAATATAAAAATCAAACACAGGCAGTATAAAATAATAGTTAGTACGGAAGTATAATTATATACCATCTTGTATTGCAATTTATTATATATTTAAATACTACTTTATTCTAGATGATCGTAATTACTGCCACAGGACACAGAAATTGTTCAGATTTCCTGCTAATCTTAGGAGGCCGATTTCCTGCTAACTTGTCATCATCGTAATATATTTGAACGCCTCGTATACGGTAAACGGTAAATGATTAGGGACATAATATTACAATGATTACCACTTTCAACGGTTAATAGACGTAAAAAGTACCCATTATAGACTGTCCACAATAATATAAAATTATAAATTTTAAATAACCCCCCCGACACAAAAAAAAAACCTCAAACTACTTCTTTATCCTAAAGACATTAAATGCATCACATGCAGCAGGTGAGCTTAATAAATTTAAAAAAATGCAATCGATAGCGGTTTGCTTAAATAACTTGGGATTATTGTTAAATGTCAAAACTTGTAATTATATTAATATTACAAATATTGGTCGCCATGTCGCTTTTTGAGGGTCGGTGTGGGGGCATCGTAAAAATTTTAAAGTATAACGGATTTGGAAGTATAACTATAGTTATGAACGAGTAAGAGGGATATATATATATATATATATATATATATATATATATATATATATACACTACAGTACACTCGTATAAGACTCACCTGGCCAGGTTGTATGTGTGGATCGAGTGGCGGAACATGTCGGGCGGTGCGGCGACGCTGTTCGGCGGGTGGCTGCAGTTGCCGAACATCTCCATGTATGCCATTACTGCGCACACCGAATAGGCATTAGCGCGAAACCGTCCCCGCAAGGAGATCCGTCCGCGCTGTTAGTGGGAACGACGCAGACTAAGAACGGGCGCGCAGACTGTGCCGCCGGCGGTTTGTAAATTAACACGATACGGCGGTAGCGAGCTAACGATGATAACGAAGCGCTAAGTGCAACCATCATCGCGGGCGTGAACTGTGCGAAATACCGCATGTGTTAGACGCCGCCCAAAAAAAAAAAAAACAAATCAAGCGCGGCGCAAGCACAATCAGCGTGTGAGAGCAAGCAAGCCGAGAAGAGTTTCCCGTGTTATTCACAGTTTTCAGCGAAGCCGTGAAGAGCCCGTTAAAGCGCGAAATGTGATGGCCTCCAACACGTCATTTTATGGAGTGGATCAGTGGTGTCTAAGAGCCAACGATTTTTTTTATGTGCGTCGCGTCACCTGCCGGTCTACGGTTGAAGAGCACCGCACACCGCAACGCATTGTTTGTACCATTTACGCGCCAGCAGCGAATGAGACAATTGATGAAAGAAATATATTTTAACAAAATCGCTTTAATTCAAATCATTAATTTTCAGACATTTCGAACACTGTAACATATGAATTTAATAACGCTTAGCTGTAACAAATTCTTTTATTAGATCATTAATCCAGACAAGATTCGACAACGTCGATATCGTAATGTTCGTTGTGTATTTATTATTATTTTCTCATCTATTACTTTAAAAATCGTTATGCTTTGTAGCTTTATCTTTTTCGTTTGCAACGCAGTTAAGGAATGAACGAAGACAACATTGATGACCAAAACTTATTTGATATCATAAATCGATCCGAAGCGGTGTGCGGCCTCTGAGGGCGGTGTACGGACCCCGTAGCTAGTTAGGGCTTTCTTTTCATGCATATATCCACTCACCACTGTACGCGACGCTTTGGAACACTGCCGCGCCGCACCGACACAACAGACAAACATGCCGTTATAGCCCCCCATTCGGTTTACCATTCATAAATATAAACAACCACATATACCTTTCCCCTTGATTAGAGAGAAACAGTTGTAATACGTAGCGAACAATATTCATTACATACCCGACGTCTGTTTATAGAGGAAGTAATTCAAGTCATTCTTATGTACTGTACAACAAGTTTTGGGAATATCTAGCGAGCAGATAATGCACCTTTTACATGACACATCCATAGGCAATACAAATGGCATTCATTACCAGTTTCAATTTGCATGACAGGGGAGTAATAGGATAATGGTAGTGCACGGGTAACAATAGACATGCAGAGATGCAAAACTGTATATATTTTAATCTGTTCGCTGTTTTAATATTGTGCATTCATGAAATTATCTTAATTGGCAGCGCTGATATTTTGTATACCTATTACCCGTAAACAACTTATTTAGATTGTGTTGTTGATTTCATTGTAAATCCTATGCAAATCGCAATGACATTTAAAATATCCCATCTGTGCAATGAAAAGATGTTACCTTTAATTATATAGGCGAATACTCGACGGAATTGTCATGGTGCGAATATTGAATATTTACTGGAATTTATATGAAGAACAATGTTTTTAGATTACATGTATTACAATTATTTGTTAAAAAAAACTTAAAAAAAATCAGCAGATTTAAACAGCATTATCATTATCATTACATATAAAAGTAATCATAACAGGCTCGTTTATACGTCAGTTAATCAAAAGGATACACCCCTAACGGAAGAAACAGTCACAACAGTTTATTTTGACTTTCATTCATAAAAGTGCCAAGTATTATAGAATAGAGCTTTCACTTAATGTGATTAAGAAGTTGAGAACATACAGGTATAGATATTATTGTTTATACCTTCAGTTTGTTATAACCCTTTAGATACAGAGTAGCATGCTTTGAACAAAATTATTTTAATGATGTTATAAGATATTAAGGACATATTAACTCCATTGGACATTACCCCGTTAGTATATATGAAAATAAATAGAAATCAAAGGAAATACTGACTGTGTTTCTTCTTGAGTGGCAGAGGTGGCGGCCGTGGTGGGTGATGATCTGCCAATGTGTGTGGTCTAGCGTCTCCGTGCAATGAGCACACAGGGCTTTGCCTGAAATTAAGGGAGCGGATGTAAGGCGCAAAAAAATTAAAAGCGTCCGTTAATTAATCTAACGGTCGCAGCATTCACGCCCTGTTACGGAAACACTGACGCCCGGTTTCTGAAACACCGATCATTAATTTAAATTCTGATCATTAAGAAGATCATTCTGATCATTCAGAGAGTTTCACCAAGCGAGTTTCCTTTTGGCAACTAAAATGAAATTTGAAAAGATACTTGACAGCTGATTAGTTAATTTGTACGATGATCAGAGTTTCAGGAACCGGGCGTCAGAGACACAATCATTTATGATCGTTAATACACACTGCGTCTTTGAGTGCAACCACTAACTTGCAGCAACTCATAGCGTGAAGGAAAATAGAGGTACGGGTGACTCCGTGGCGCAGTTGCCAAGGTATTGGCTTCGACGCCGGGTTCGATTCACACACAAGACAACTATTTGTGTGACCCGCAGATAATTTCTGATCTAGATGTTTGTCCACGTAAAACATATGTAATTATGTACGTAAACGTCCTTACAACATAAGACAATGTTATCCTACAGCAAGGGGCAATGTTTTCAAAAGCAAGGCTACAGTGGACCTTTCTAGATCGCAGTGGTTGTTGGAGCTTACTACCCAACTTCTTTCACACAAAATACAAATACAAATGGGAGGGACTCCATGTACGCAGCGAAGGGGAACGAATATTTCTCCAATTTTCGCATCGTGGATTAGTTTTTTTTGGAATAGTAATTTAAGAAATATAAATTTAATATAAACACATTTTTGCTTTGTTCTAAGACGAGAAAAAATTTGTTAAAATCCATGAGCGATTTATATTTAATATACCATATAAACCATTTATTAAAATGTTTAAAACTACCTTATCTCGACTGTGGGGAAGTGTTGCTGAACGTCGGCGCGTATGTTGCGTCTCGTCTTCACTGGCAACTCCGGTGGAGTTTCGCTCTCGTCCGATGTTATACTTGCTAATCTGTAGTGTACCATAAATATACTGTTATACATTTCCGATACACGTAACCGATTTTTGTTCTGTGGACGTAAGATTTAACTATCCAATCGCAACGTGTTTTACCACTAACTATTATTAAGTGCTCTTAAGGCAATAATCGATAAGATTATCTCCTTGTTGGTTTACTTATATCGTCCCCATGTAAGATTTATTAATAATCAATTGTTACAGTAATCAAGACAATGCATCCAAATAGAAAACCATCAGTTTTGGATTTGGAATGTTTAGAAGTTTATATAATGTTAATACCAAATTCCAGTACCGCGAACATTAAGAAAGTTAATTAATTTTACTTGCTGATATACCAAGTGCTCGGCGATCAATTAAAACTTCAGAAAAAGCCCAAATTCTAAGGTATTAATCAAATGAATTTCCCAATTCCTGAATGAAAACAGCTGTGAAATAAACACAGGTTGTTATTTTGCTCGTACAGACTTAGTAATGACTTACCAGTCTGCTGATTTTTGTTTATCAACACCACCAAACAAATGTATTACGTAAAAGGAATGATCAAACACAACGAAAAATAAAAAACATAAAATAATAAAACCAAAGGTGAATAACAGTGACAAAACGAAAACACTCACTTCGACGAATGGTGCGAGGTGACACTGTTCATATTGATTACATTCATGCGGCCCTCAAAGCTTTGCAGCGTGCACTTCATTTCGCTCACATAGTCTGTACTTTCAAAAGTACTGCAAAAACAACAACGGGGAGGCGTAAGGGACACGTGGACGGGAGCAGAAACGTACAATGTTCATGAGAGTGACATTAGACGGTGCGATGTATGAATGAAAACATGTTACAAAACAAACAATCGGTTAAGACACTCAAAACGCCGATGGGGGCGGTGCCCGAGGTTGAATACCTGTCCGTATGGCTCGAGTAGTGGTGGGAGGAGAACGTGGACGTGAAACTGTGCTCCGTCGAGATCTCCGAATGGCCGACGGACACGAAGCCCGACTCGTTGGAGAAGCTAGGACATAAAATGACATTTAATTATCAAAAAAAGTATGTACATAAATCTAATGTACGCATATAGGAATCATGTTGTATGCGGGTATGGCTATGTTTTTTACGCCTATCTGACATAAAGGGTCCTTGTGAAACAAACACCCAGATGCGGAATTATCTGTGGGTCATACTTGTCCCGTATGAGAATCGAACCCACGACCACCGACGCAGAAGCCAACAGCTTAGCAACTTCGCCACCGAGTCATCTTAAGGCGGTGTTATTTATTAGATGAGCTAACGTACCGATTGTTGTTTGAGTGCGCGTGTACGTTGTTCATGTGCATTTCATGTGACTCCATCGAGGCCCGTATTTCATTTGCACTATTACAGCTGCACATACCTGGAACATTATGCGAATAGGTTTAGAAACATTCGCTGTTAAATATAAAAATATTAATTTAAATGGTTAGTAATGTAGTCGAATTCGACATAAAATGTTGTCAAAGAAAGCCTTCGAACATAATATTTCATTTCATTAAAATGTAAAATCATGATTAAAGGTTTCTGAGCTTCATCTATTGTTCTGAATATCTTTAAATTTATGTAAATATAATGTTTATATTCGAAAAATTTAATTAATAAATTTCATCGACATAACATACACGGGCTTTAATAAATAAAGGGAAGAGCATCAAATTTTTATAGATTAACTTTACATACCAACTAAATCAGAATTAGGCGGTGTGACGAACACTTGATCATGGTTGATGGAGTCGTGTGTATTTCTGTCCTCATCATTGGAAACATTAAGCATTGAGTCCAGGGAGCCACTGCTATGCGATTGGAGAGACAGTCTGCAAAAATCAAACGAATTTTTGTTCTAAGCGTACTCAAAGTAGTGAACACAATACAATAGTATATATAGTATATAGTATATAGTATAAAATATAATTAAATATGTTTTGCATTTTTAAAGGAAGTAACAAAATAAATCTGTATAAGTGTACATAATTAAAATAATCATATATTAGTGAAAGAGAAATGTTTACGCAATTATACCTATCTAGTGTATGAAATAAATAGATATATGTATAGTATAGGATGTTACAAATTTTGTTTCTTTTTTACTTAATTACTTTGTTTGAAAAATATATTTTTATAATTATGGATTTTTTTAACGTTAATATTTTTATAATTATTTGCAAGTAACGTTAGATGTGTGTTCATTATTGTCGCGCTGGTAAAGACACGCTGTATAATTATAATTTATGTACAGCATAACACAAAAGTTTAACGTCACAGCGGCAAAGTGGTCGACGTCTTGACGCTAACTTTTGAGGCACCTGTAGAATAAAATAACTTTCACTTTCATGTTTGCACCCGGTGAATGGTGGCCAACACGATTTATCTTTGCTCATCCCGACCAAGGGCAAAGGTAATTGTAACTTACTTATGCATAAAAGTTGCTTATATGCAAATACGGAATTGACTTTAATAGAATCTCTAATTAATATTAAAATCCAATTCAATGCAAGTCAACCATTAAACCAATAAGTGCAATATTGTTTCCAATAAATGCATAAATGCATTCATTTGCATTACAAAGTACAAGTGTTATCAGACAGTTCTGTTAATGCTGAAATAGAAAATAAAATTAAAATATTGATCATTAGCACGCAATTGGTCGCAAGCGTTAATAGTAAACCTAATTACGTAACTGCTTTGATTGGAACACATTTATCATAATTAAGTAAATCAATACGAAATCATCGAAGAATTTATGTTGTCGCTGGATTTATAAGAGCCCGTTCGCAAGGATTTATGTAGAATATAAATCAGTTTCCTAGAAATTTTTTATCAATATAGTTGAATAGAATACGAGATCGCACCGAAATTATGTTAGGCGGTGTGAAGGTACAAGGCCACGACCCTACCGTGACCGTAGAGTAAAATGTCGACAATAAATATAGTAATATTATTCTACTTAGGCTTACAATGTCCGTAACTGCTAGCCAGGAAAAGTTCACTTTAAATGATGATTCAAATTAGAGAGGCATTTTATACTGACTAGGATAGAGTGGCACTCTCTTATATGCGAAATTGTACGTTGCCGAGAGAGCTAATAAGAAATATTAATATTAAAACAGTCAAGATCGACACTGTACGCCTAATAAGCCAATTATTTATAATTCACTTACTAAGTTTACGATTTAGAAAATTTCTCGAACCCAGACTGGTGTAAAACGGCTTAAGGATAAATAGTATAAAAAATATTAAATACACAAGTAAGGTTTCCTTTCGCAAACGAGATTAAGAGATAAGTAACCTTCAACGTAAAAGATTACAGTAATTAATTACAAACGCAGAAATTTTTACGATTGCTTATAGTAGCTAATTTACGTTACAAAGATACGAGTATAACAATCGACGAACAAGTTGGTAGGGCCTGATATGAGTATCACACGGTGGTAGGGCCACGTAGCAGTCTCGGCTGTTGCACGAATGGGCAGGCTCGTCCGGGTAAGTACCACGACCTCGCAGAAGACCGGCGTAAAGTGGAAGTATAATACTTTCGCGTTTCGTCTGGTGAGTGAGGTGGCCGGAGCCCAATTTTCAAAAGGTTGTCAACGCATCCGGAACCCTCGGGTGTAGCAGATGTCCATGGGCGGCGGTATTCTCTTAACATCAGGTGAACCGTCTGCTCGCTTGGCAACTTATCACATTAAAAAAAAGTTGTTTTTAAAAAATAATTTAGGATAACATTTATTTACGTCAGGAGAGCTGATAAAGTTATTAATTCTAATAAACACAAGCAGTATATCTAATTAAATGCTTCAGTCGGCAATCTTTCTGTCAAAACATAAGTTTACCATTAAAAACCAATGTTTAAAAAAAACTGTCTAGCTGTTTCTTTTGCCTGTTCTTCCCAGGTCAGCGGCTTTTTTTCCGAACCGTTAGTAGTATTTTGACAATCAATAAATAAGTGTAATTCTTCCATATAATTTAATAATGATATTTGAATTCAATAATTCATTTGAACAGACCCGCCGTGTGTCGTGCGACAAACGTTGGGCAAACAAGTTGGCCCAGCGTTTGGAGTTCGTGCGGAGGTCATTACGACTCACCTGTCGATGGACAGGGCGAGAAGAGAGTTGTCGTTGGCGGACTTGCGCTTCGGCGGCAGAGGTGGGGCCAACTCGATTTTCCTGCAACGCGAGCGACGCTTTCACTTTTATCGTTCGGACGTGTCGAGCAAAAGTTCGGATCTCGCCAATAGTGAAAACGGAAAACGCGCCCGCCACGGTCGCCGTGTCAAGGTCAAGTGGACACACCGACCGCGGCGGCCACACGAAAGTGAATCGAAAAAGGTGAAACTCTAATATCGCCATCGAAAAACCCGATCCGTGCGGATAATGAATCGAAAATCAATTCGCGCGCGGCTCTTTTACATAATTTCACCGCACAACATATTTATAGAGTTTCGCTTCGGCGATGGCGATTATTTTTCTTAGCATCAACTTGTAGATTGCATCGTAGAATATATTTTGGATAAAATTTAACTGATATATTCGATGTTAATTTTAGGAATTTAATTATTAAATTCGGCAAATTAACTGAACCCTTTTTTAGTCACTAAATTTAAAAATATTGATTGTATTATAACTAAGAAATGCTGCAAAAATCGAACACGATAAACAAAAATATGAAATCTATTTATAGTAATAACTGTTCATTGAAACTTTAAACCGATTTCTAATGAAAAATAAATTGATTTTTGAAAAGTCCTTAGTCCATACAATTCCATAAAAGTATATTTCAGAACATAAATGATAAGCACAAAAATATAAAGTATCATTCGATTTTCTAATTAGCTTACATAAATCATAAATCTTAAGGAACTCACCTTATGGGCCTCGCTGGTTTTGGGGGCGGCGAGTCGGGAGCGTCCAGTACGGACTCAGACGAGTGCGAGGCGCGAACTCCGGTAGTTTCCGTACCAGTTTCACCGGTTAACAATGACCTCTCCTTTGGTGTCAACGGTATATCTGGAATAACAAATAAAAACGATAAATAACATTATTGATTAGATAAATAGGTTAGGTATATAAAGTAACCATGTTTACTTATTGCCATATTAAAAGGCCATGCAATTTGCAAACTGTTTATTGAACCCTGTAATAGCTTTCCATTTCCATAAATTAAAACATTAATTAAGACTATTAGATAACTTGAATAATATTTTAAATATTTCAACAAATATCATTTCGACATTGAATGAAACCCAACTGAACTGGAAGCGTGCTTTTAATTAATTAAAAATCCCCCAAGAGACTTACACCTCCGTGGAAATTACTAATGTTAAGTGATAACCGCCGGCCATTGCATTTTTAATACCCTTAGGGTTGTAGATGCGTTGCCACCTTTTAATAAAGTGGGCCCCAGCTACGTCACTCGCCAGACGAAACTCAGAAGTATAACACGAGCTGTGAAGTAAGAAGTCTGTGCGAAGTTATGATACTTACCCGGACGGACCCGCCCATTCGCGCAAGACTGTTGCGTGGCCTAATACACATTACATACACATCAAACATTTTTATTTAAGCCCCATAGATAAAATAACAACAAAATACGAAAGCGATTCACGACACCGCAATACGGAGGGTGAGAGCTCGTTAAACAAATACGAAAGAACACGTACCGGGAAGGGAGTTCCTCTGCGTGGAAGCCCTGGGCGACACCAGCGGCGGCCTCGGGGACAATGCGGGCCGCGTCATGTGCTGCTGCGCCAGGGCCGCCACCTCCTCCACGGCGGCCGTGACGCCCTTCACCACGGTGCTCACGTGCTCCGGCGAGAGGGCCGCGGCAGAGGTGTCCAACTCCTCGTTGGTCGCGTCCGCGCGCAGGCTCACCGCCGTCACCTCGTCGCAGAGCCGTATGAGCATCGCCAGGGCCGCGCAGAGCCTCCTCACGGCCCCGGTCAGCGGCGGTGATCGGCTGCAGTACGGTTTTATCGCTGCGAACGCGACGGATTTTGACGATGAAAAGTTTCTCTTTAAAATTAACACCGGACATCTTAATGGAGTGCCGTTCACCTTTGTGTATGTTCGCGATCGATTCGAACACTATGGTCCCGTTGTCGGGCAGCATCTCCAGTTTACGTTTCGTGATCACATCGGAGAAGTGTTTCAGGCCGAACGTTACCTGAAAGGGAAATTTAATGGAGGCAATACGTATATTTTTCTGTACTATATGTACTTGAATTTATAAAGTCCAGGTCTGTGAACAAACTTGGCACTCGAAATGGTTAATGTTTTTGTTGCTTACTTCTTTGACTAGGCGTTCTAATTCTTTGGCCGGCGTTACTTCACCTTCTTCGACTGTGGCAACAGATTTGGGCCCCATGTTCCGAAGTTTCGGACTAAGCGGGGAGTGTGATCTGCAAAAAGATAATAAATGATAAAAATTATACTGTCAAACCTTTAAAATATTATCACTTAACATGTAAGATAATTTTAAAGTATGAAATTGGCATGTAATATGCAAATATTATTAAGGGCTGCCTAGGGATAGTTAGTTTAGGTTCAGCAGTGGACGGCAATAGGCTGATATTGTTGTTGCAATAAGGCTAAGTTATTGAAAATGTTACGAGTTCGGTGACAAAAATAGCAACGAGTGTTATACGTTTTATATAACACTCATTGCTATTTTTCTATAATTAAGGCAGTGTTTCGAAATAGAGCTACTTTATATTCATACACACACACTGCGAAAGAAAACAAAGCCAAGCAATATTTGATATTCCGCAGGGTATCGAATCACCGCGCTCGACGCATGATCAAACAAAAGAAACGCGGCAAAGTCACACCAAAACATAAAATATATATTGGGCAACTTTTGTAACGCACGATCACTGCTGATTACCAGAACATGCAGAGCCGTAATTAAAACTCACTAAATTACGACACGAGAGTAACACACGCTAAATATTGTCCGGAAGACGATTTGAATCACAACAGGCCGTGTACCGTTTTCCATTGTTGGCGAATCGCCGGTGCAGCCGATTCGTGCGTTTGTTGAGCCAGCCGGCGACGGGCGAGCGCGGAGCGGTCGACATTTGGTAGCAGCGGATCGAATCAGATCTGACCGTGAGGAGTAATGTGCCGAACGCTTTCGAACGGTCTCAACAATAAGAGGGGCCGCGCGTTAAACGACAGAGCGAACACGCCGTGCTGACAAGTCGGTCGCGGGCATTAAAATGTAATCACTTAACATTGCACGCACAGAACTAATGAGATTTAAGCGGACAGTGTCATTAATGAGCGCGACGCTCGCAGGTCGCGGCTGGGCTGTGACTCACTGCGACACGACACATTTATTGTAGGTACTACATTACTGTAACTACAGCACTTATACTAATCGAAGCACATTCGCACAAACAACAATTTGTAAAATTATATTTCTTATTCTAGATGCGAATATACATTGCACGATCAAATGAATGATACTTTGTCGCAGACAGCTTAGATACTGAGTTATGTATGGCCATTATGTTTATCAATTTAGATAACAAAAGAACCAATATAGTCAGCTCGTAGATTTCATCGCAATGTACATAACGTGGCAAGATAAGGTGAGTAGCGCGAAATGTTGCTATCAACACATAATGATATGTAGGTAGCTTATAAGATGCGATAGTGAAAGTTTGGTGATTTAGCGTTATGTAAATATGTGAAACAACAATTTTAATCATGCATCGATTCCTTTAAAAATTACGGAATGTTTTAACATTGTCCAATAGCATAATAGTAGATAAATTATTACTAATTTAATTATTAAACCCATTTAAGGCTATAAAATTAACATTGCTGTACTAAATCACGCGCCAGATTTTTCCTATAAAGAAAATTCTAAGCGTATTACGATGCATTTTCCTGCAATAAAGTACTAACACAAAACCGTTTGTTTACTAGACTATATCGTTAACTGGCGCCAGAAATATTAATAGTAGAGAAGATAACACCAGTACTGACCTAGAAGCGCCACGTATACAGCCATCGAACGTGATAAAAGATCAGTATTCAAATACATCATAAACATAACAATGAATGAATATTCATTGTACCAAAAGTTTTTTTTGGATTTGTTACCAAGCAGACTTTGAACATGACTCGTTAACAACAAAAAAAAAATCTCTTACTAACTAGTATCTTATTCATCACCGTCTTTCATAACTATGAAATTGCCGTTTCATATAGAAGAAGAGCGTTGATGTGAAAAGGAGTCGGATTAATTGACAAGTCTCGATTCGAAAGCTTTTCCATCATTATTTGCTACTATTCACTATCCACCGCTGATGAATACAGTAGACCCGGTAGTAATATAAAGTTGTATTAGGTGTCCAGGTCTACCGAACAATGCCGGTATAGATGCACAGTACACTCGAAAACGGCTTCTTATGGCTTAAATTATGTTTGGAACATGGTTTAGTTGTCGTCTGAGTCCTACCAGCATCCGGACATTTGAAATCGTCATTAGGACAATCCGTTTGAAGCATTCTCCCTTCATTTGTTTGGCAATTATTCTACAAGTAAACAGCTTTCGCGATTTCGTTGTTGCTGTGAGTTCATCGGGTGTCCATTTACCGAGCTTTTTTAACTTTTACTTAAGATAATTTGTATCGTTTCAACATTTGAGATTAGTGATAGATCTACTTCCACTATTGATTTCAATTCAGCGTTGTGGACGCTAATCTACGGTTTGCGACGTTGGTCATTGTTAAGATCAATCGAACAAACAACCAAACTGAAAACGCACCGTTGTCACACTACAGCAGTTTTCGGATTACGAAAACGAATGTAGCTTATCATAACATGAATATTATATTATTATATTGGATTTTGAATTCTAAGTGAAAAGAATAATATAGATCATCAAATTAAGACGATAATCATACTTTATATAACATTACTTTATGTTACAGATTTCAAAATTGTTTATACGTTAATGTTTTGTTTTAAACAATTAATGTCTGATGAAATATTAATATTTCACGGTATACTAAAATTAACCCCTTTGCAAAACGTTATCCGCTGTTACGCCATAAACATTTTTAACGCCACATAACTTTTTATTTGGCTTTATGAATATAAAATTTCAACTTATAAAAGGCCCAGCAGTTTATGCATAAAAACTCGAAAAAGTGAATTTGTTTTAATTGGATGTGTGAAATTCAAGTAAAATAATCAACCAAAGGGATCAAATATTTTACGAAAGAATTCGTTGCACATAACGTTTCGGTGCTTACCATGAGGGAACGAAGAAACAATTACTGACAATGCTTATAAAAACTTTGTCTTAAAATGTCATAGCGTACAACTTAAGGGCAGTGGTTCGCCAGATGTTCAATGAAAATTATCGCCTATGACACCCCCCCCCCCCTACCCCCTTGTTTAGATTAAAATCATTAAGAGTGCGGTGTTCGTGTAGTAGTAGTACATGCCGGGCATAGAAGTACCTGATTGCGGACGAGAGATGAGGTGGATGATGGGCCTGCGCTGGCGACCGCATGTTCGAGATGCGCTCCAGCAGGTCGTCCTTGAACGAGCGGGCGCGGCGGGCCAACTTATTGGCGCCGCGCAACGAGCCCCGATGTCCCGATCCCGCCTCCCCGCAGACCTCGCTCTCTGCAAACAACGGAGAGCTAAAGACGGCGTCCTCTAACGTGCGATAGAAATTATTTACGAGGCAACTATATATCAAGGAGGAGTCTAGAAAATATATAAAGAAACCCACAACGTAACCTTTTATCAAGGCGATAGGCCCAACATAATTGTGCCCATCGCCTTGATAAAAGGTTACGTTCAGTATGGGTCTCGTTAAGGGTTTGTGAAATGTGGATATCATTCGGCATGGAACCCGTATTTACACTTTGTTAGATCGATTAGATCGAATAAAATATCAAGATCCTAAAAACACAGCATATTATAACTAAACATTTAATAATGCTGATTTTTACCCGACTACGAAACCTCAAACCACCCCACTAGTATATTTGTTCCTTTGTGGCAATATAGAGATCGGCCGATTTTTATGATTCTTACGTCAATCATACTGCAAGTGTCAATAAAGACATGATAGTAATCAAAAAAATCAATATAGCGATGGCAAGACGCCATATTGTGAAAAAGCTATAACAGGATGTAGATGAGTAACGGTATTCCATTGAAATACCATTTTTTTAATTAAATTTTATTATACAGCCGGATTTTTTGGATTTTAATTTCTTTTATATTATTTTATTATTTCATATTTATTTAGAAGCTATTACCGTACACTAACAGCCGCTACACCAGAGACGTTGCAGCTCTACAATTCCAAAACAAAACATAAAACAATGAATAAATTTCACCTTTGACTTCAGGGCATTGCCTCCGAGGTAATATTAGGTCTTATTATCGAATATCCTTATGCCAATATACAGAACATTTGTATATCCTGAACGTCACGCACGCAACATTATTGATAATAGAAGGAAAAAAATTGACGATAGTGTTCATTTTACACAAGCCTTACTTAAAAGTTTGAAATCTAAGCGAGGAGTAATACAGTAGCCAGATTCTTTGACCACAAGACCACACTAACATATTATATAGGTATCTATTTACTAGTTCTATACGATGCAACCTTCGTTTGCTTACATTTCAATCTCTGGTTTCGCGTGCAATAATTAAGGACATGCATATACATGACCAAGTTGAATTAATCGTCGTTGCTAATGTGATTTTAATTAACAAAAAAAGGCCATACGGAAATCGGGTATAGCTCACATTAGGCCGACTCATGATATTTTGACATGCAATATAAATTCTGTACACTTGTGAATCGATAAACCAAGCGAGCCAGTTACAAAAATTGTGGAGATTGGTGAACTTCACGTATCTTCGAAATTATTTTTTTTTATTATTTCAATAATTATTATTTCACAAATTTCCTCACGATGATTTTTCCTTCACCGCTTAGCACGTGACAAGTCAGCACTCAAAATGAACAATGTCATTGGTCCCGGCACAGGGATTTGAACTCAGATTGCTAGAGTGAATTTTTAAAATAGAATTAAAACGAACGCCCGAAGACAGCTATATCAGCGCTCCTGACGACTACGAGACTCCTACGCTTTTATATTTCATAGGTAAAACACGTCTGAAAGACAGGGTTATCTCACACAGCGGTAGAGGAAAAGTTTTATAAAATAAGCATGTATGATTTTGATTTTTGAACATGAAAATTGTGAGTCATCGACCTCGGTTATCGTTGGTATAAGCAAAGGTTACATGGTAAAAGCCTAAATTGGAGACTACATTTTACTAACGGTCAACTGAACTACTAACCCGGTGGAATCGATAGAGAAAACGCTGTTTCATTCTCTCGGTTTGGAAAGTAAATGGTTCCGAATAATATCAAAGAGCCGAAGGTGAAGAATAAATGAAAAAAATATAATAGTATGTATAATAGAATTAGAACAGAAAGAAATTATATAGAAGCATTAGAATACCCTAAAAAACGATAAAAAGTCTAAGAAGCTATTAACAATTTCGAAGTATACATTATAGCTAAAATTAGTACTATTTAATAAGGCTAACCTCTGGTTAACACAGGAAGAGATAACAGAGTTCAACGCGAAACTAATTTAGTATTATTTACTACAAATTATAATGAATAGACCAGGCACTTAATACAATTTTATGTTTTGCATTTCGATTAATTATAACTTTATATAATGGCCCTTGACAGGGCAAATACCAAAATCATACAAAATAATCGGTTATTAATGTTGTATAATATTTTGAGTCAAGCGTGTCATGTCATGCGTTTGTTCTTAATAAGTGACAAATATGTTGATCAATAATGATACAGCAGAACTCTACTTTAACAAAAAATTTCGTATTAAACAAAAAATAAAAGCTATAAGCTTTTAACGATGGAATAAATAAACAAATAACTTGTTCTATAAACCTTTTTACAATAATTTTATAAGGAAAATGCCTCTAGGTCGACTACCATATTAGCTGTACGCCAAAGTAATCAACAGCTTTGACTAATGACGCCAAATTCACGTCGAGCCTTCTGTTGCATGTACTTGTCAGCGCTAAATAAAGAAACGGCCATCACTTCACGGTCAAATAAGTATCAAACAAATTTCAAGCTTTAGAAACGTGTTTACTTAATTCCATCGCCATCGACTTTACATTTGTTATAACTCTGTTTCCAAAAAAAAAATCACTTTATACGACGCACAGTCAAAGAAATTAAATTACAATTTTCAAAGACATCTTATGACTCACCGTAAACTTTGCCCCGCACGAAAACAAAAACATTATGCACCAAATTAAAACTAGTTGTATACGGATTGTGCGGGCATTTCGAGAGCTAGTCGAAAATAACTTAAATAGTAGAGTTCATACGAAATTTATAATCAAATCAAAATCAAATGTATAACCGTGACTTATCAAACAGGACTTTGACCCTAGAGTCAACTGGTCCCGCGGCGGACGTCGCATCAGGTATATTTAGTGAGTTAGTAATGCGCAGCGGACATCGATTTCCTTATTTGTTGTAACGACGTATTATCGGATCATACCTGGAGTCTGTGATCAGATGGGCACTTCCAGTGACACTGCTGAATACACCGTCTAAAGCGAAACACTTTAAGAGAAAACCATCACCGTGTATAGATTACGCTAAGATGGGGTAGACGGTCTTTTATCGAGGGTGACGCGCGCGTTTATAAATATGCGCGGTGACAGGACGCGCGCGGTCCGCAGCGCGTGACGACTGAGGAATGAGGAGTGAGGATATCAGGGCGGGCGCACTCCGATCGGGCGGCGGGACGGACGGGAGCAAGTGCGTCACATACAATAAACACAGAGACGCCACCCACCAGCGCCTACTTAGCATGCGGCCCGAGCGACCGTCTGTCGCCGATGATCGCGCCGTGAATCGTCTCAGTTGTCTCCATAGTAGTGGTCTTATAGAAATGAAAACTTTTCTCCGCATCGGAAGTACTTTGGCACCGCACAAAGGACATTCAGTATAGTTTACAACTCAAGTTCGTATGCACAAATTATTAACAAGGATTGTGACAAAATACGTGTAATGAATTAAAGTGTTTTGCTTCTGTTTACGCTATAATTTTGATGTTTGGTAATTAATACGATCTTAACTCGTCAAAGGTTAATTTTTATTTATTTTTTTTATATTTTCATTTGTTAATTTGTTCATAATTGTTTTGCGACTAAATGAATGCCACATGTGACGCCTGCACTATCAAAATATGCGGGCATAGTTTTATTCATATAAATTTAGCTGAATACTTTTAAAATATTGTATTCTATCTATAGTCTAAATAGCATTTTATAGCGTAATAAATTTTGTTCATGATAAATGTTCTACATGTTTTGATAAAAAGCGAAAATTCTTTAATTTTTTTAACTCATGCAGTATACGATATTACCGCCCCATTGTGACCCCATAAAACTTAAAAAAGTGTACATACCTTAAATACAATTTTAATTTGCAATTCTTCTTAACGCTATTTGTCAACAGGAGAGACATAATTCTTTCTTACAATATTACGAAATATTAGGCAAAATATAGCACCTAATTAAAGGCAGCAAGATTATCGCATATAACGAAACTAATGCCTATTAGTCCAATTTAGTGATGCAAGCCCGGGGTTTTACATAATATTTGAATATGAAATCGTTACGAAAGAGAACGGAACTAAAATTGTAGACAAGTGGTACATGGAAAGTGTTAAATCAATGCTTATCATCATAATATTCGAGTGTTTTTACGAGCTAATAATAATGACGTAATATTACAAATCTTAATTATATCTGTGATACTATGTAGTTACATTATTTTGAATGTTTCGATGTTTATTTGTTGTATGCAAATTATTGTGGTTCAAATGTACCATACTATCCAAAAAAACCTTGAGTTTACGATAAACACTATATAAACTAGTTACTAAGTTGGGCCAACATAGCGTTGGTGTAACATATGGATTCACTATGTAACCTTTAGCTCATTAAATTAACAGTCGATTATGGAATTGAAATAACAAAATAATACAAATTATTTACACCATTTAAGATTAACGAAGAGCTATTAATTAAAAAACAAATTGTCTCCGAGAGAACATTAAACGCATAAACTAGCCTAATGACAGAAACAATCGCACGGATGAATAATTAAAAGCGCTTAAACGGACAAAACGTTGCCGATTATCGCGCACATCGACTACGGTCGTTAGCGTACGCCGGTTTTTGCTGACGGCCTTAACATTACCGTAACAATAGATACAATGGTGTGTTCCCGCGTCTGTTACGCCTTATTATACAATATCTGCGGGCTCGATGTGGTGTTCGAGCCACGAGCGCAATGACACAGACGAGAGAGCACAAGAACAATACGATGCAGGCTACCGTCGCTTCTGCCGAATAACGACTACAATTGCGATTAAAACGAAACTAAGAAACCATCGTAATAAGCATGCACGGTAAAAGCAAGCACCCTAGCAAAGCGTACTTGGGTGTCGATTAGCACAGTCAAAGATTCGTTTTCAAACACTGCGTAGATAGTAAAAACAACTGTGATATAAAATCCATTCATAATTCCAAATACTATTTCCCAATAGAAGGGTGTCGATGAAGACTGAATAATCGGATAATTCGGATCGTAAACCCTATCAGAACATAATGGGAGAATAATACTTTATTCATCAACATAAATAAATTTTAAAGCAATACTAGACGAATCTAGAACTATTCCTGCGAATTTATTTTTAACTTAAATCTGTATGTAATAGATAAATAAAATTGGAGTGTCTGTTTATAATATAAAAATAACCGCCTTTTACTAAATGCATATGGATACACGGTACATATACCAAAATAACATTTTTTACAATTTTTGTCTGTCAGTCTGTTTGTTCCGGCTAATCTCTGAAACGGCTGGACCGATTTGGACGGAACTTTCACTGAAAGATAGCTGATGTAATAAGGAGTAACTTAGGCTACTTTTATTTTAGAATTTTTTTTTATTTTAAATTACACGCGGACGAATTCGCGGGCACAGCTAGTATGACATAAAGTAATAGGAATAATTATCTCATTCTTAAAAGGCTTATATCCGCTTATATATTGATACAGTATGTGCATTTACCAATATATGAAATACCAATTTTTGAGTACAATTAAAAGGTGCCAAATATAAAAATATCTTCGTCGATAAAATCATTTCTCAGTCTATAGCAAGGACATAGCATTTACGATCGCTTCTACAAAACAAACACGGAAACGACATTTTTATAAATATCATTTTAAAGTCGCTTCTCTGCACAGTAAAAACATGTTCCATACTCGTTTTAGCTTTGAAAAAAACCTGACTTTCTGTGATATCTATAAAACAACATCAAATTGTTGACATAGGAAAGAAGCAAAAATAAGAAGACCTTAGCTTTGTCAATGTCATGGAGACCAAAAACAAATAAAATGTTACTCGTGATGTTAAAAGAATTTGTTTCTAAACCCGTCATTGATAACATGAAGGTATTGAAAAGCCACAAATACAATTGGGCGAATTGTAGTTGCGAATATATTCAGGTGGATCGAATTATTGAAAGTTATTTCAAGAATTTATGTAGGAAAGAAAATATAAAGATAAGATAATGACCGCACAAAAATACTGAATATTTTATCTTCGTATAAAATAATTAATGACATCTATTTCAAACCAAATGACTTTAAGATATCATGAATACAACTAATAACTGATAGGTATTTAAATTTAATTTTCAATTAATTTCAATTCTCAATATTAAATATATTTCAGTGAAACAAAAAAATATAATATATTACACAAAATAATATGTATTGCTTTCGCATTTATAGACTTCGGTTAAATTAAGTTTTTCTTTAAACCCATGATGATTTATACCAATGTCAATGAAGAATTAAATTAAATAGTATTAACATAGTTTTAGGGTTTCGAAATAACAATAAATACGACAGAATAACTTTACATAGCATAGTAAAGAGGTAGAAACAAATGAAAAACTCGAGGTATGAATTTACCGTTTACATTCCTTTTGTCGGCACAGCGATCACCGATCTGCCTGTACACCCCAACACCCGGTGCCGCTGTACTCCGCGACACGCGCCTCATAGGCCGCCGACGCGCTTCGGCCACAGAATACGAATTCCTCACATCCTCCACACGAGTCGTAACCAAACACTCCTCCGAGGGTGACGAGAAGTGCTTCAAGTTCTCTTCGCACAAAAGATTCTGAAGACTTGTTCCAGTCCTCATTTTCTCCTTGTTCGGGTCGCTATTGCGCGTTTTTTTGAAGGTTAAATTATCAAAACTCTTGCAAGAGCTTAGCGGCAAGACGTTGTTGTTCCTCATGTCATAAAATTTATTAGGATCAAACACGCTGATCCTAGGTACGCGAACCGCCAGTACATCATGGCCCCTGTACTTAGCATTTTGCACGTGGGATGGGCACGAATCTGGTTTGTGTCTATTGCCTCGACGTTTAATATTACGAATATTTCGTTTAATAACTGAAGTTCCTCTCTCTTCGAGCGTTTGCAAAACATCTCCGGATTCCAGAATGTTCAATGGGCTCAGCCCGGTTTTATAAACACGATAACTTCGTTTGTTCCTTCTCTGATTTTGATTGTCGTCGTGGAAAAAGCTTTCGTCGTAATGAGGCATCTTTGAATACCTTATGCAACTCATTATAACATCAAGTGTTCACGACTAAAATAGCGCAGGATATAATCCACTTGATTTCCATTTACACCTCGTTATTTCTTCTAAAGAAAACTTGTAAACGAGAGTTATTAGGCTGTCTAGTTGTAAGCAGAGAAAGGGAGTGCCCTTTAGAAATCTTCGAAAGTAGGCACTGCACTTGTGACAAGTTTCACCTCGACAAATCAATGAAATTTATACAACAGCACAATAATTATCACGGTTTCCTAAGCTCATTGGCTAAGATACGTGTCCATGTTCCGCGTATCAATCATACACCGAAATAGCAGGCACGGTAGCCATCTACAATTAGGTCATTATTTATTTACAGTGGACGTCGTAACGTAGCGTCGTGATCGCACTGCGCATCTTTTGACTTTGCCATAAACACTGACGGACGCTTTGATACGACAACCTTGACACTGTGAATTTTACGGGAACACAGGCCGTGCCGCTGAAATTAACGCACGGACTTATCACATTCCACCATAAATAATTATTAATTTTTTTAACATTTAGTCTTCTTCATTGAGAAATTACTTTCAACGACGTTTTGTTTTATCACATTTTTCATTCAACATTCACGATTCACAAATATTTCATTCGAATCAATTTCACGAAACCGTTTATGGAAAATATTCTAACGGCGACACTTGTGCTCTCACAAATCTAGGCCGACCACTTTCGCCGCGATGCAAAATTTTTCATCTCCGCCACAAAGCGTTGTTTCCGGTGCATCACATATGCGGTAAATCACAGCGACTTGTCTCGTCGCGCCGATTCCGAGTCGGCGGCCGATCAGGTGTGGAAACGCTCGGAACGCGCACCCGCGGCGGGCAGCATCGGCCGAGAGTAACGCGAAACAGCACCGCGGCAAAGGGATACGCTATCTATAAATAGGCGGGGATTTTTCGCGGCGAGATCTCGACCGTCGGCGGAACGAGCGGCCCGGTGCGCGGCGAGGCGTACTATACTACAGTATATCGGCACGGCGAGTACGGCGAGCGCGGTGAGGCGGTGCGGCCGGCGGAGGTGGCGCGGCGGCACTGCGCCGCTGCGGTGGACGCCGCGCCGCCGCCCGCCGACAGTGAAAGTGCCGTGCATCTCCTGCGCAGCCCGCACCTGCCCCAAACCGGCCGGCTGTGCCGTAACGCGCTTACGCGAAAACAACAGCTTCCCCCCAAACATTACGGATTTTTACACGAAACAACCTACCCCCATCCAGATCGCTTGTCGACTTAGCGTGGTGAATGTGAAGTCGAAACTTCGCGAATGATGGAACTTAAAACTGTTTACACGCTAAACGAGTAGCAACTGAAAACATTTTGTTTGTAAAACTTAGGCTAAAGTTAAAAAATAATTTATCAATACAATATTTTAAAGGCAATGGCTAAAAAGGACACTACTAGACACTAGAATGTTTAGGTGTACATGATGAAACAGCATGTCTATTGGACAGGCTTACGACAAGCAACCATTATACGCAATTATTACGTGACTGAACGTGTAAGATATGATATCGATGTACCTAATGACAAAATAATGATTGGTTACATGGGAAATGTTTTCACCCGTAGGACGCTTATATGGTTATTATGTATTTCATTACATCCATGTCCAATAAAGTATTATTATTCATAGATATATCTTTTAGAGGCCCCTCAACTTGGGAAAAGAATTATAGGAGAATAAATCTTTGCAAAATCATGACTATAAACAAGAGTAAAATCAAACTATCAACATTTAACTTGTATTGCTAACGTTGATAAAATCAGAAATATATGTATGTGCACCTAAATAAATCACAATGTACCAAAAGTGGGCTGTGGATCTGTGCCACTTGACCATTCACAGCTCGCGCCAGGGTTACACGCAATGGCATTTGTGAGCCACGTATAACTGTACCGAGCACGCGAATAGAAAATAATTAATTTAAAAACCACAATTGCGCACCAATTAATACATTGGTTCTATTTTCCGAAAAGACATTTGAATTATCACCTTGTACGGACAATAATTATCAAAAGCAGTAGGTATAGATAAACGGTACACGAATAATAGACTCTTAATCATGCAAATGGGCTAAATACTAAAACATTTTTTTACACACAATGGTACTAGATCACTGATAAACACACTTTTATTTTGTAAATAAATACATATTGTGCATATATAAACACCCAGACACTAGAAAAACACTTTGTTCATCAAACAATATTTTTCCAGGATTGGGGATCGAAACCACAGTCTCTGGCACAAGAGGCAGGTACACTACCCACTACGTCGTTAGGGTCGTCAATTCGCTGTAATAAACTCTCTAATACACGGTCATGAAGTAAATAGTCTTTAGATAATTTATAAGTAAGTGAAGCAATAAATTTTTTCGAAAATACCACGAACAGAGTATAAAATTGGGTACTGTTATAGTTTACATGGTAGATTTCCGTAATCTAACATAATTTTATCATTTATCATGCTAAAATGCGTTGGACATGCATTCTTTACTCTGATACTGTAAATGTCAAACACGTTACAATCTATTGTCAAAACATTGCACAACTTAACCTTGCTGGCAAAGAAACTAATTTAAACGATGAATCTGAGAAAAATAATCATTCCCATACTTTTAAAATTAAATAAATTACAGTCGAATTTCACATAATTCATTTAAAACCTGAACCCAGGAAACGATCCACAGTAACATTGCTTGTTCACTTAAAAAGAACATCTAATTAACAAAAAAAAGTAGAGCCCGGTCCGATCAAGTGTAACAGGAAATCTGACCGACTCAACGGTTCCATAACAAGACAAATAGAGAATCGTCTAGTCACGGATAGAATTGAGGAACTAACGCTGTATTGACACTTGAGAGAGGAAACGTGATAGTTCGTAACCAAAGTTTAAATAACTGCTATCCCAGATACCGTTCGTCGCAACAAACACTAAATGTAAAGAAATACACTACAAGGAAATCATCTACTGTTTCTTATTTTTTTTTAATGTGAATCACGTTATATCTAACAACTAGTGTCTGAAAAAGTTCAAAATATTCAATAATTTTAAATAGTACCATGTTTTACTTCATTTCCCTTTATATGAACCAATAAGAAATATGTCTACCATTTACAGAATACCTAGTAAACTGTCCATTGAGATTTATATCCAGCACCTTGCTCAATATGTTAATGTTAATATATTAAATGGAAACAAGTAGAATTGTTTGTACATTAGTGATAATAGCGTGCACTGGTTATTTAAACAAAAGAAACTTTTGATGCATCAAGTCCGATGTAGCGGATGTAGTAAAGCTTCATCTCCATAAAAGCGGCGTTCATTCCGTTATTTCCCTCTCCAAGAGTTTATTACCACGATCGGTCCAATAGTTATTAAAACAACGCAAGCCGTTGGCCGGGGCCTTTCCTCCTAGAGCAGGAAGCCAGCAGACGCATAGACAGCGACCCGTGCAACTCACTTTCCAATAAACCAGCTCGATCGTGATACCTATCCTAACGGGATCATTCACTTCGCGCCACGCCGCCGATCACAACTAACTACCCAACCTAGCAGGCGCTTAATGTGGCGGCGTAAGAATTATTCAAATTCAGAACGCGTCATTATTTCGTAAATGACTGACGCGCCGTGGTCATGCGCGTTACCGTTGCAGACGCTTAAGCAACGATTGCAACATCACAATGGACCCGTTTAATTCACTGCGTCACGGCGACAGCTCGCCACAGCACGACTTTTTTGCCAGTAATGATGGGACGGGCTATCTCAGGCTGGGCTTCGTGTTGCTTGCTATGGAAAAAACGCCACGTCTCGCCTAAACTGTCCCGTAAATTGTTTCAAGCGAGACTAAGCTAAATAGCGTAGCTCAGTTTCAAATTTTTCTCGACATTGTAAAAAATCAACTAGGTTTTATGACAAGTCAAAGAACTTCGCATTCTAATTATAAAAGCATGTTTCGTAATACTCTCAGTATTAGAATAATGTAGTAGGTAAGGTTGAGGTAAGTAATAAGATTGAGATAGTCATATCAACATTACCAAAAGAACACGTAAAGACCTTCTTATTTATTCATTATAATATCCATTTTACAACAACAAAGGTCATGTTACAACATACTGATATTATATACAACTGCATTCACTTCTTTTATCATTTCTCAAAGTGCACGCACTGCTGTTTTTATTACACAACTAGCGACCCGCCCCGGCTTTGCACGGGTGCAATGTACATATAAACATTCCTCATGAATCACTATCTATTGCTGTAAATTGCATCCAAATTCGTTACGTAGTTTAAACGATCTTAGCGTAGAAACAACGGGAGCAACTTTGTTTTATACTATGTAAAGATAATGGCCCATACGTTTACATATTACAGTTTGCAGGGCAACAATACAGAATATTCTTTTGACGCAACACCGAAGAAATCCTAATCCGAAAAAATTGCCTAGGCAATTGGCTCTTTTATCACGTAACGGAGGTTACGAACATCCACACATCATGATAGAATAGTTACAAAAGCGGCTAGCTCAGAAAAATATGCAGGTTATGGTTACATTTAGGCAATAAACCAAACAAGAAACGAATCGATTAGCTCTAGTCTTGAACAAGAGACTGACATTTTAGCAAGGCAAATTATTATACGCATTAAAAGAGATACAATAACAGAACGTGTATTTACACACGAGCATGAATCAATTTACTAATTTGAGATTAAGTCAGAGATTTGTAGAAGATTACAAATATTATCCGAATACGATTTGCAATTCTGAAAACGAAACCACACATGACTCGGTGGCGCATTTGCTAAGGTCGAAGTTGGCACAGGCGACGGGGGTCGTCCCCTCCAACCGGGTTCTCGCCTTGACGCGGCGATAGAGTTTAGTACCAGTGGCGTAGTCACCCACGGCGATGCTAAGAGGAACCCACACTGGGCTGGCTGGAAGTGTAAGGCCGGCCCGAGAGATCCGCTCCGAGTGGGCTCATTGAGCCCACTCTGGATACGTGCTGGAGGGTGCAGGGGACGGGTCGAGGGTGGTAGAGGTGAAGCCACTCTCCCTGTCTTCTGCAACCGAAGGAGTCGCGGGGGAAGAGGAGTGTCGGTATTGCGTTGGCCGCGCTTCCTATCTCCGCGACTCGGCGGGACTGCACTGTTGATGCAGTGGTGGTGGTGGGGCCGCGGTGGGAATGGAGTGTCGGTATTGCGGTGCGCTGTACTCCCTACCCTCTGCGGCGGAGCCAAAGACTAGGTCCGCCGCTGAGGGCATGTCGCTTATTGGCACTGGTTATCCTGGCTCTCATGGCCTCTGGTCAGCGAACTCGGGGGCAATTGTTGGCCGTGAAAAAGAGGCCGAGTAGGAAGGTGCACTGAACATTCCAGCAGGTTGTTTCATTTGGGTGTTTGTCCACGTTGAACAGTGAATTTATGTTGATAAAACGTAAGGGCAATGTTGAAAAAAATTTGTATTTCGTTTAGGTTGATTCAATCAATCAGCCTTTTGCAGTCCACTGCTGGACATATGCGTCCCCAAAGGCACGCTACAGTGCACGATTTTCACGGCTTTCCTCATCCAGCCACTACCAGCGAACATTCTGTGCTCATCAGTCCGCTTGGCAAGGGGACGTCCGATACGTGGTCTCCATTTTTTTTAATGTGAAAGTTGCCAAACGGGCAGACGGTTCACCTGATGTTAAGTGACTACCGCCCATGAACATCTACTCTACCCGAGGGTTCCAGATGCGTTGACAACCTTTTGAAAATTGGGCTCCGGCCACCTTACTCACCAGACGAAAGGCGAAAGTATTATACTTCCACTTTACGCCGGTCTTCTGTGAGGTCGTGGTACATAACCGGACGGACCGGCCCTTTCGTGCAACAGCCGAGGCTGCTGTGTGGCCCTACCACCGTGAAAATCCATTCGAGAACCCGTCTGCTCCAACGCTCATCGGTTCTAGGAAAGGTGTGGCCAGCCCTTTGGTCCAGACCAGGAAGTTTGGTTCTCTTGCCTTTTTTGGATGATTACTTTTCGGATCTTATCTCTTAGCGAAATACTCAGCATAGATCTTTCCATAGCTCGCTGAGCGACGTGTATTTATAATTGTTTAGCGAGCGATAGCGCTAAACAATTGTACTGAATATAAAACTTTGTTTTATGTTAACTTGTACTCTTGTATCTAATA